TTAGTTATAATAAGCAATTTAGCATTAATTAAAAGAGCCTTATTTTCTTTAATCTAAGGTAGCAGTCAGGTTAACCTTATTAAGCTACAGAAAATCACACAGTAGGCTTAATCTAACCAATCAGAGAGGGATATGCTGTTTACAGCTTAACAGTTGTTTTCTGAGCCATACTGGGACGAACGACATCTTTATGCCGCGTGATGGACCGCTATGACCCCCAAGAATGAGGAGATATTAATCTCCTAGCATGATAAGGAGTAGAATTTATATGCGATCAGAGGAGCAGAAACCATAAGAATATAGAAATCTAGCGCGTAACTTGCTCTTCCCTATAGATCCGTGTACCCGCTGTGGTATCGTATTAAACAAGCTATGTAAGTAGCATTAAAGTTTCCTTTCCCTACCTATGCCGATATAATGACATTTACATCCAGGGTACCTTTTATAATATGTTAAGCAAGTTACTCTTTTTTATAAGCCATGAGCGATAGCAAATTGGGGGAAAGTACGGATATGCGCAATTGTCTTTAAACTTTGCGGGGAAGCGGATCCTAACTGCGGAAAGACCCGTCGGGTCATTTGCATTTAGAAGCGCACCTCTTATAAGAAGGGCTTTCTCTGACGAACTGTTCTTAAAGAGGACACCCCTAGTCTCTTAAGAAAAAAACCGATTCGCGGGGAAATGTAGAGATGGCAGATCATAGTCGTATTTTCGATGGACTGGGTTCACAAAGACTTGCGCAAGGAAGAGATCGTCGTCCTCCGCATTATGGCCTCAAGGTATAGATTCTCGGTTGAGACGGCAGGGTAATGACGTCGACTCTATATATTGCGCAGTGTATATATGTAAAGAGCGCTCGCAAGTGTCTGGAGGGGCAAGCATTTACTGCAGACAGGTCCCCCAAAAGGGCCTTCACCTATCAAGTCACTAATTCGAAAATATGGCACTACCCTGGCTCGCAACCTTGGCGCTCCTGCCTCTTCTTGCTCTGGCAGAGAGCGATGGCTTCGGTGCCAAGCCTGTCATGGGCTACAACAGCTATAATGTAGGCAGTCCAAACCAAAGACTTGCTACCAGGAACTGCTGTCTGACACTCGCTGAAGGATGTTGTTTGTAGTCCCAACCAGACATATATGCACGACACCATCACCGCCATGAAGCAAAAGGGCTTCGTCGACCTCGGCTACACCATGTTTCAGGTGTGACACATACCTCTCGCTGAGGCTATTCGACAAAGACTGACAATGATGAACAGATTGACTGTGGTTGGTTCAGCAAAGAACGTGCCGCGAACGGCTCACTTACATACGATAATCAGACTTTCCCAGACGGCATTTCGCCTTTGAGCAAGTATGCGATTAGCCAAGGAATGCAATGGGGCATGTACACGGGTGCGACACCTTACCAGTGCATGCCCGAGTATGTGGAGGACTGGCCAGCGTCTCAATACCACGAGAAGGCTGATGCATTACAGTTTGCTGGATGGAACACAGTCTATGTCAAAGCTGATAACTGCTTCGCGCCGGACGACACGCTCGTCCAGCGATATACCAATTTGTCAAATGCACTTAGGGATGTTGGGATCGATGGTATGATGGTATGTGAGTGGGGGTTGCCAGCCAATGGAGACATTGACCCGGCCGTGTGGACAAAGCCCATTGCTACGTCGTGGCGTGTGGCTGCTGATATTGCTCGAGGCTGGGATTCTGTCTTCCGTATCACCAACGAAGCCATTCACGTCATCCTCCAGGGCAATTCTGGACCTGGTCACTACGGTGATATGGACTCGTTGGAGGTTGGAAACCCGGGGATGACCCAGGCCCAGCAAGCGACTCATTTCGCCATCTGGGCCATGTTCAAGAGTGCCCTTATCATCAGCACCAATGTGGTCGATATGTCATCTGAGACTCAGTCCATTCTCAGCAATACAGGTCTCATCGCCATCAATCAGGATGACCTTGGAGCACCCGTGCGCCTTATCCAGCGCTACCCTGACTACGATGTCTACGCTGGTCCCTTGTCTGGTGGTGATATGGCCGTACTCATCGTGGACCAGTCCGGGAACGGCGGTAATTACTACCTCGACTTTATCTCTCTCAATGTTTCCCGTGCTGATGTCCATGACCTGATCGCGAACCAAGAATGGCATTACTTCAGCGACTGGTATGCGAAACTGCAGCCGTACGGCTCGTCTTCGCTGCGCTTGACCAATATCCAAGCATACACTCCTCCAGCTGTTACATACAAATACATTGAGGGTAGTTCGGGCGTCGTCGACAACGGTGCAAAACTTGTAGACTGCTCTGCTTGCTCGAGTGGCCAGGCTGCTGGATACGTAGGTGGCGGGCAGAGCGACGGTGGAGGTAGCGTCACGTTCACCGCCATCAAGACGTCGCAAGCCACGCAGAACGTCAAGATTGACTACATCAACTGCGAGATCATCTATCCCAACGAGTCTGGTCCCAACGCGAGAGGTGCTCGGATCTCGGTGAACGGTGCCAACTCGGTCGACATTCTGTTCCCTGTGTCTGGATACTCGTGGACAGCATCAGTGCTGCCCAACTTCCTTGTTGAGTTGACCGGGTTTTCCACCAGCAAGCCGAACAACATCACCATCACTGGTATCCCCAACGGCGTACCCAACATTAGTGGCTATGCTCCGAACATTGCAGGTATCTCCGTCTTGGCCTAGTCGGCTTCTTAGATATAGCGTAGGTATATAGAAGTTAGGCTATTAAGTTCTTACTGAGAAGAACTTAAACTGCCCAGGCTTGGATTACGTTATAAGATATATTTATATTATTCGGTATTAAACTTATACTCGACTGCAATCATATCACCATCGACTCCATTTCTACTACTTAGTCCAATGACCTTGCTTGAGATATGAGAATTACTATTCACCACTGCAGACTATGGGGATGACTGTGGCCTAAATGGTTAAGCATTGGGCTACGAACACAGATAATTAACAACAACACGATATTTCCTTTCCAGACATAAGCCTTCACCCATAAGCTTTCATAATGACCAATAAATCTGCAGACATATACAACTCAGTAGCCTTCTATACTACCGCAGGGCTTGCCTAGGTGCCTGACTGCTGCACCAAAGGGCGGACAGTAGCAGGGTATCTCAGAAATCGAGAAATATGAGATTTTCTGGAATCCACACTTGCAGCGTATTTCAACAGCAGAACTTCTATACTAAAAGCAAATCTGGCATGGCTCAATTTGCCCAGGTTCAAGGGCTGAAATTTCATAATATTTAAAGATATCGGTACAAAATATCTGGCTTCGCGAAAGCCCACTGTATCGTGGACTTCGACCAGCTCTCAAATATGCTTCACACGTTGAACTTAAGGATAATGTTCCTAAAGGATATTTGGACTCGCTTATCCACGAAATGGATATTAGACTAGCAAGAATGGCGAGGTCTATCAAGCCACGGCCTGTTATGGACGTTCTAGTGACATTTAAATATGTTTCTAGACTGGCTCGAATAATCGTCCTCGACCTACTTTTAATAGGTTCTCTCTCTAGACAGCTTTCCAAAAAACCAAGCCTTCTCCTTGTCTTGGGCCAGTCACCAATATCCACTGTGCTATAGACCCTAACCCTGCCACATATAACATAGCCAACTGAAAGCCGCGAAAAGCTCAAGTGCATCTTCAAGTCTCGCTCAAACTCAAACGAACTGACCGTGGGATTGGTGCATATGATAGCCGTGAGGGAGAACTTGTCCAAGATTTTCCAACAAGTCTTCCCAACAGGATGGACAAGAGCTGGCCCTAAGTTCCAAGACGCAATCAAGCATAACCTGGTATAAGTATTGCTAGACTTTGGTGCCAATCCTCAAAGCAAGATTTGGCTAGACTCTTCTCGCGGTGTGTCCGCCTTCTCTTTATTCGTGGCTGCTAGTTTCGACTTTGAATGGAATGAACAAGCCGAAGAAATGTATTCCCAAGCCCTCGACTAGTTATACGAGGAGGAGCACACTTATCAGCAGTGAGAGCTTTCTCAATGAACTTCGATCGTCGGGCTTGGGCCAAACCCTCCTCGAGGTCTCCATGATCGACTTTACCGAGCCTAATTCCTTCGTAGGAACAACTACTACTGGATCTGCCCAACAGCACTACGAGCTTATCCTTGACCAGTTCGAAGAGAGGTTGTGAATAGTTGACTCCTTTAGTAATGAGACGCCACACCCTGTCTTCTTTACAAGATTGCTTAGAAGACTGGCATCAACTATCCTGCCTAGGTAAGATGAGGTTACAATAATAGACGATATCTAAATTAGAGCATGCTCAAAGATCCACGCATAGGGAGTAGCTAAAAGTTTCAGAGCATGTTAGACGATACAGGAATACTAGATCTATAGAGTGAAATAAGGAATAAGTATTAAATAAAATTAATAATTAATAAATATAAGCAGAAACTTGAAATAATCTTATCTATGTATTCGAGTTCTTACAGAGGTTAAAATGCATTAACATAGATGAATTAGTAGTTGTAAACCCAGATACTGCTTGTTAAACGGATATCAGACTTTCTGGGCCATGATCATGTATATAGGTGGCATAATCAGGGTCGCTTAGAATCCTTTCAAAAGTTTGAAATGCCTCAAGAGAAAGAGGATTTCCTATGCGGAGGCCACTTATCTCGGGTTCTGATAAAAAGCATCCAAGCTCACAGTAGTGCCATCGAGGTATAACATAAGAATCCATTTTTGTAGTCGTGACGGCAAAAACAATCAATTCCGTGCCTCCTTGCGCCATGGTAAACTCAACGATCGTGGCCCCGGCGAAGCCTCCATTCGTTTGAGTCATTCTTCGAAGCCAGTTTAGACCGGGTACCTGGCAATGTTCCATAGGGCATATCACGAGTATGCTATCATGCCCGGCGAATCGGTTTGGTGGAAAGGTTCGAATTCCACTGAAATGATGTCTGTCAGAGTGGCGTCCTATGAGGCTAAAGGATAGCAATACACCGGTTTTACACTAAGGTTGGGTAGTAAGCGATGACGGCGTCATGCTCTCCGAGTCAGCATGTTGCACTGGAGTGAACATTTCTGTAAGTGGGGAGCCCCTGTAGACCATTCCAGGGGCTAGGGGAATGGGGACGTCTGGGTAGGAGGCTCGAGTAAAGACGCCGGTGAGGGCTTCTTTTTGCATAGCTATTCCAATATTTCTCTCCGTCCCAAGCTCGACGTTGAGAATCGCAATGTACGAGGACCAGCATTGAATTAGAGGAAGCCGAATAGAGATACCAGAGTTAGCAATAGCGTAAGGAGTTGGCTTGACGACGTGCCGGTGACGCTGATAATGCGAAGCTTCTAGAAAGCTATGTGGCCTAGGGGCAAGAAGGCTGACCTGGTTTGTGCCCGTGGCCCATGACCAGCAAAAGAGTGAGTGATCGTCTGATGTTTTCAGAATCTCCTCTTGGAGTCGAAAGAAAGCTCTATGCCCTTCACCGTATATGAGAGGCATATGAATACCAAAAAAGCCCAACATACAGTACGCCATGTCCTCGATCCTTGTCGTTTCACGGCGGGACAACCAAGACATTCTTTCAGCTATGGACGCTTCATGGCATTTCGGGCTCCGAATATGTGACCAGTCTTGTTGAGTGGTATTCCCCATCTTTGGATGAGACCTGAGATACTCGATTCCTATGCCTGTGGCCTCGGCAATGTCGCAAACGAGACTGGACCTGGTCCCAATTCGTGACCAGTCGGCTGCATAGAAGACCACAGAATCAGGGGCGAGGAGCCCTTGGAGTGTCCATCCTCTCTTGAACCAGCGACTTTGCCGGAACTCCTTCGCATAAGACAACGGCTTAAACGTCGGAACATCTGAAAGATATGCGTAACAAATATCTGCCTTGGAGTACCAGGCAAACATGGAGTTGATAGCTTCTGTAAGCTCGGCTGAGCTGGATTTATCGATGCAGTTGGTGTCAATCCATACGTATGAGTAGTCGTCATTTCTGGCTTGCTCACAGGCCTCAATGATCTTGGTAAATCCCGACTTCTGGACCACCGATGTTGGGTCTGCCCAATCCTGGAATGTAACCTCTTCTTGCCCCCAAGTATGCGAAAGGATTGCGTACTTCGGGATTTTGCTTTCGTGGAACTCCTCGAAGGCTCTGGTGTGAGTGTTGATTAGTCTCATTATGTTATTAAACGATAGCCAAGTAAAGCTTGAAGCAAATAGAAGCGATTTAGTATAAAGTAAAAAGTAGCTCTGGACGCACAGGACGTGCTGCGGGGTAATTATGATTCTACACCTTGTTAATATGACTAAGTATTGCATATCGGCTATAAGAGATGCTCAATAGTCCTTATGCAATCAACACGGCAGGTGATTACGCCTGAGTGAGTTTGAGAGCTGAGCCCTCTTTAGAGAATTTTTCAAGTTTCAAGCACCCCACTGCAAGTAAATATATATATATTTAAAGTCAGATCTCTCCTTAAGATCCATTGCTCCTATACATTGCTAACACCTGGTGTATGTGACGCTGACCCAAACACTGCTCTTTAGAGGATGCAAGTTTCTCTGCTGTCTGAAGTATATTCTGAATTTCTCTGCGAGTCAACGGTATAGGCCGACTCGGATCATCAATTATGCTTTTGAAATCAGCGACTGTTGAACGGCGCGAAAGATTGTGATCAGTATTCTTGAGGAATACGCCAATGGTCCTGTCCAGCATCAGGGTTCTCGAGCAGTTATCGAGGTTCAAGAAAGAGACAACCTGTGCTCGGTGTTGGAGGGCCCTACTTCGCGGAAAATCTTCTCATCATTTAGTCAAAGAAGTCTAACTCTCGCAGGTGTTATAAGAAACGTAACTTACTGCTACTGGCCATGGTAAGAATAGTTATACCAGAGTAATCGTCTATTGCTTGGAGAATGATCGAGGAAGTTGAACTGCCCGACTCTTGCCCATAACCTAGAACACTGTCACAATCATCCAAAAGGATAACTTGACACATTAGCTTCAACAAAGTCTCTGAAAGGGTCGGAATGAAAACATACCTGCCTTCCAGATATCACCAAGATAGAACGCCTCTTTTATGTTATCCTTAACTCGATCAAGCTCTACACCGACTTCATAAGGCGCTAATCGATATAATGGCTTCCTTGCGAATTCGGCAAGAGCCTCTGCAGTGAATGTCTTGCCGTTTCCTGGGTCACCATAAAGCAGAATTAACCTACTCCTGTCTCGGCCTGCTGTGAAATCTATAGATGCTTCATTTTCGGGTAGAAGTGCCCTTAGGACGTCCTTCTCATTCTCGGGGATAGCCAGCATATTAAACAGATCCTCGTTCCAGACTATATCGGCCGCGTATTCTATAGCAAGCTTTCCTATAAAGGTCTTGTCAGTGTAGCAATTTTATCTATTGAAATTGGAGGCACCAACGCCACTTCTTGTCGTGCAATCCGAAACCATATGTTGTTGGTGGTAGAAGAAGGGTAAAGCTGCCAGCAGGAGGTGAGGTCGACTCGGTGACTTCCAGTGATAGGTGCTCTTCAACATGCCCAGTGACGACGTTATCAATGGTGTTCAGTCTGTGAGCGCGACGATAGGATTCGATGTCAACCATATACCGGCCATTTTCCTACGCAGTGGAATAAGTATATGATCAGTATAATAATTGGGTCTCAATACCATGCGATAATCGAGAGCCTGGTTTGGGGCAGTGTAAAGAACCAATCTCGGTTTTCGAAGCTGCCAGAAAAACTCCCCGCGCTTTCTAAGGCGATGCTCGATTTGTTGATCGAATCTTAGAGGAAAGATACCGAGCGACTTGATTGGCACCTTGTCCACCTCCGCGGCATGCTTTGGCCAGGGTATGGTGATAATCCTTTTGGTTTTTGCAAAACGGCCATCGAATTTCCACATTTCGCATTCTAACCGTATCGGACTCGAACCAGGTATAGGAGGATATTTTGACAACATGGCGACGTGGTGGCCGTCTTCGATAGTAACTATGATCTCACTCGGCCCAAATAGCTTGTGAAAATGCCTCTTACTTACAAGCCCATCACCAAGAAAAAGGTTCTCGGCCTCTTTATATTCGAGGCTAAATTCCGTGTCCAGGTACTCAAGAAGGAGATTGAGCTCTTTGCTTTGACGCTCTGGTAAGGAGGGAATGTAGTCGCGCAGCAGATTCCGAGTGTGATAGAAATGAAGGTATGGTGCCACCATGTTATGTTCTCGTTTCCAGCCTAGTAACAACGACTCGTCCATAGAGTCTTTCTGGGTGTCTGCCTCCTTCACTGCCTCTATTGCGGTGTTTAAATCGTTCGATACAATTTCCATATACTCCCCTTCGGCTACCGCATCATAAGCATCGCTGGGCAGACATAATTGAGAACTGAGGTAAGGCGGCTCAAAGTTAGCTGAAACCTCTCGTAAGGCCTCAAATAATGCGTCATGGTATTCGAGACAGTTATAGGTGCGGTGTATAATGAACGAAATAGTAGGATCCTTTTTGGCACGCTTCTGGGAATCTTCATCCGGGATTCGACCCCTCAGGGGGTTTCTGTTGTTATCGCCGACAAACAGACGTGGAACATCTAGATATGACGAAATAGCAGGATGGCTAGAATGGGCTGGAGTTGATCCAGGGCATTCCACTCGATGAATAACTATATACCGAGGTATTGAGGCGCTGGACTGAGACGAGATGGCCTGAGTAGTACTAGGAATTTCATCAACGTTTTTTCCCGCCATTTTGACGTTTAAAAAAGTTGCGGAATTTGGTATTGTGAAGCCAGACTTGAAACCATTGAGGGTAATCAGGGCAATTAGGCGTTCGGAGGCAGCAAATCACATTGCGCCACGTCAGGATGAAGAGGGGGAGTCTTTAGGCCTGCTGTACTGTTTACTTATTATGCTATAATATGCAATATGCAAATAGGTATTTCTTATTAAACACCATAGCCATCCACCATTTTGATGTTATTAAAAGTAACATAACCACAAATGATAACTCAATAGAGAGAGATTATCTACAGTAATCAGAACGCATAGCATCGAAGCACAGCGAGGACCAAGATCTTTGTAAGATGATAAAAGATACGGTAGTTGAAGCGATTTGACAGCAACGCCCGCCCATCAACAAAAGTAGGTAGGATCGCATGCTTGAGTCTCAAGTTCTAGTCTAGTCGAAAGTCCGCGTTACTTGCCGTTGGCATCTGGAGATAAGACAAGTAGTGTTGTAGATGTTCAAAAAAGCCGCCTGCTATCAGCAGTGTCGAGAGCAGTGCCTTTGTAGGGTTATGATATAGAGTTTGGCATGTGTGGCCGAAGGATGTATGTTAATTTGTTGCCTTGTCACGAATTGGCTTATTTATATTGGGAGATTTATCTTTGTTAAGGCTATGCGTATTTTGCCTTCCAAAAGCTAAAGTTAAATGGGACTTTTCAGTGTGTTAGCTTGATATTCCTCGTGGAGGCGTCATAAGCTTTGGGCATCAATCAATCACGAATTGGCTTGGATACTGCGTACTTTGTATCTAGAATTGTGCTATGGCAGTTCTGTTTATTTATTTTGATAATAAGGTAAGTGCAATCAAAAGGCGTTCCTGTCCATTCACAAGGCGCACTCAATGGTGAATGTGAATCATTGCTAAACCGGGTGTGCTTTGTTAATTATTTCCTGTTGACTATAATCTAGAATTATCCTCAGGAATAGCTCATACCATTAGATCCTCCACACACATTGAAAGGCAATGGTTGGAACAGCAGGGGATTGTTAGCTGACACAGCCTCGCTGGAGGCCTCGGATACTAAATCCGATTGCGGCCAATGCAAAGTCATCATATCTGTCCCCCAGATCGGCGCTGAAAAGTCCATATAGAAACCATCGATCCAGTGCTGTGATGAAGTACTCAGGTTGTCACTACTAAGACAGCGATCCATTGATGCATTCGAACCATCTGTAAGCGTATCGAGATAGTGTTCCGGTGGCGATTGCTCAGCTTGGCAAGGCGTGGGTAACCCGGTATCCGGTACCACGGCCTCCTGCTTAAGGACGTGTACTTTGTGTTCGTTCTTGTGTCGAATTGGACCCTCTTCCGATTTGTCTTCATCTTCTGAGACCATGGAGGGTGTTGGTGACTCGGCTTCAGTGCTCGGTAGCGTGTAACCTAGTTTATGAACGATATCGTGAACTATGAGCTCACCACGATCGTCCAACTCAGGTTCATCAAAGTCCCATGTTTCTCCATTGCGCACCATGAGGTAAAGCCTTTGAATGGTAGCTGTGAAAGCAGCGTCCCTCGTCTGAGACACTTCTGTATATCTGATATCATGTTAAGTAACGTGGGCCTTTTATAACTCCGAGATACACACCCTGACGACAGTCGCCTAAATTCTTTCTTTGGTTCGTTTTCGGTGGTGCAGACAAAGCCATCGCGCTGGCACCTTGTGCATGGTGGGAATCCACTGCACTTTTGTGATGTGAGTTAGTTAATATGTTGAGGTCCGGTGAATAGTACTCACCTTGGTCTTTCTTAATCGACATCTATCACAAGCTCTTAGCGCTTTCTTGCGTCGATCGTTGGTGCTAAAGCACTGCGTGCGACGCTGAATGGATATGGTATGCCTTGTCGCATATTCAGAAGGGCTGCAAAGTTGGTCTGCCATTAGAATAGAATGGGTGATAGTTGTTTCAATATTGTGACCTTGGTGGAAAAGGTAAAGTCTGGGTGTCTTCGATGAGGGAATGAGTCGTTGAGATCGATAGACATATAGGACTAGACTTCTATATGGAAACAACAGATATTAGCAGCTTTTATAAATTTGAATGCAAAACTTACAATATAAGTAAGAGTTATACGCTTTCTTGTCTTATAATCGTGAGTTGTTGGGCAAACCGGTGACGTCTAGCCCTCGCCAAAGATCCTGCAATAAATTTTATAGCTTTTAGAGAAATAAACTTTCGCAGCACGGCAAATTCTTGTGACTATAGTGAAGATCTTGGCGCTCAGTTGTCATACATTATTATTCGAGAGCCCATGCTTTTAGTGATCTTTGATGGCGCAACGTTACAATATGGCGTTTATGGCTTTATGACTGCCGAACGCTAGTGATAATCTGGCCGTTAGATCGACGTTGACGTTTGGTTTGGTATGCATTAACCTAAAACACTGCCTAAAAGAATCATAAAGCGCGGCAGAGGACAATGCAGAGAAATTATCGTTACTGCATGCAGTATTGTATGACGTCGCGGAAAGTGTGTCTTACTGATCTTCTACACCACTAACCCAAACGGTCTAGCCCAACTTTCTCAGCCGTGTCGCACAAAAGTCCCTTGACTTGACCGAAATACGTCGCAAACCAATCCAAAGCCTGTTTTTCTACCTCCTTGCTCTGTTGAAACAGATTCTCGTTCTTGTCATCCACCCGCACGCAGAATCCGTGCCCGGCTCCAGGATATACTACCACCTCTGTAGGAGTTTTCAGATTCTTCCAAGCCTCTTTCATCACATTGACCTGAGACATAGATGTGACAATATCCCTGTCTCCGATAGCAACAGAAACAGGCTTGATAATTGTATCTGCGTCTCCGGGCAGCGACATGCCGCTTGGGTGGCCTGTGAAAACAGCATCAACAAGCGGTATGCCGCCTTTGGTTATAGATTCTGGATGCGCCAGAGTCAACACAGGTTTACCGCCCCAGCAGAATCCTGCGGCTCCGATGCGTCGCTGAGGACCCTCGTGCAAACGGAGGGCCTCGAAAAAGGACCGAATTCTTGGCCATGAAGCTGCCAAGCCGTTGTAGTAGAAGAAGGGCGCCATTCCGTATATGGTCTGCGCGAGGTACCAGCTATACCAAGTTAGTCTCTCACCTATTAGAGCTATTAGAGTCACCCACGGCTTCCATATCCAGTTCCAACTTATAGCTGTATCAGTCAGCGGACCCACGATGTCCTGTAGAACCAGTCAGCAGTGTCACAAATCACGTTAGTGCCCACGTACAAGAAGCCATACAGGGGCCGGTCTACCATCCATGAAATCTGGAAGGTAGACCAAAAAATCGCCATTCAAGGTATATTGATCAGCAAGAAGCCTGTTGTTCACAAACTCCCATCCAAATGCATCTGGAACGATGACAATAATACCCTTGATGAGTTTATTATCTGGTGGCAAAGCAACATAGGTCAAACGCTGTTATATGGATTGTGGAATAAGAATTGCTAGGATGAAAGACTTTAGTTAAGAAGCAATGTGAAATTAAGCTAGTTATTTTCGCTACTACTTATATTATATCCATGTCCGCCGCTAAGCCTGATGATGTTATCTCCGTCGGACCCGGTGCTTATTTTTATCGTCTTTCCGAAAATTCGGCCTCTGTTTGGTATCGGGCGCGCGAGATTGTTGATTGATATTTAAAGCTTTTGACGTCTCAACGAGACACATCAAGTCATTCAGGTATTTGGCATTACTTTTATATATTTCATGTTGATTCAGATGCGATACCGTTCGCCTGGCTTTTAAGACACTGTTTCGTTTACTTGTTTATGAAAGAGAGGTTAAACCTCGCAAGCTAACTTATGGCAAGGGCAAACTCAATGGAAGTGTAGCAGCTTGATGGTAAGCAATGATTTAATTAAATAGTATCCTGAACAGCAAACCATGTTGATTATAGCTATTTAAGCTGCACCAATGATATAAACAAGTATCAAGAGATACAAGGAACGCAACATCTCTAGGGTAGGGTTGGTTCAACACCTAACCACAAATCAGGTTAGCTTACCTATTCCGGCCGGTATGCTACAGGTACCACATTTTCTTGACACAAGGGCGCACTAACTTATCTCTTCCGTATCGACCAATAATAGCGCCTCAAGCAACTTAGCTGTGCTTGATTTTGACTTCCCCCCCCTCACCTCGTTCGTGCTATGCATCTTCCCTTGCACATATGTAACAATTCTCGACAATCATTTGACCTGAGGCATTAGTAACATTGACATCGTTGCGGACCAAACTCCGCCCAGTGCCTGAAACGAGCGCTGTCGCTGTCTGTCAACTTTCGCCGTCACATCAGCACATAGGGTGTTTGACAGCCAGGAGAAGACCCCGGGATTGTTCGGAATCTTCTTTGTCTTCTATTTTAGGAAATAGAGATGCCTGATGATCCGGAAGGTGGCATGCTTCTGCCCTATTGCGATGACGATGGCTTGAGTTTCTGGTGCCGACAGCTCTTCAATGATGACCATCACCAGTCCGTCATCCCAGGCGACTTTGTCGTTGGTTCTCTGCCCGATGACCTGGCGTCTTTTGACTTACCATGGACTACCATTGGCGAGTACACTGACCTTACAACTCACGACAGTTATCCTCCTTCCGATCTCCCTGCAGTCTCCTCCCAACCACCCCAGCAGCTACCTCCTACGACCTCTTCTGGCGAAACATGTCATCCGGCCTGCGGGAGCCTGCCACCAAAGAGTGGAACTCGTTTTTCTAAGGATGCGCTCAAGGTTCTTAAAGACTGGCTCAGTTCTCACAGCGATCATCCCTACCTCGACGAGGAAGACAGGGAGATGCTGCAGCGCCAGACAGGTCTTAACAAAACCCAGATCTCGAATTGGCTTACCAATGCTCGCCGTCGACGTAAGGTCCAACGACCCAGGTCTACCTCTCCTTATGTCCGCAACACCTGGACCGGACCTATCGACATTCCCCGGCGTCCAGATACACCTGCCTTTCACAACGATTCAGGCAACCTGAATCCCCTGGAGCGTTGGGTTGACTCACCGCCCGAAAACGAACCCGCCTCAGTCACAGCCATCGCCAAGGCCGTCGCCTTAAACTCAAAAGCTTCCTCGGGTCAGAACAGCCCACGCTCCTTTGCCTCCACCGATGGCGGATCTAACCCGTCAGTCTATAATGCCTCTTCTGCTAGTAGTGCTGGCACTTCAAGCGGTGCCTCCTTCGGCTCCATGACGAGGCAGCGTGGCCGCCGTCGAAGAAGACCCGTTCCCAAGCGCAAGGAGAAACCCTCTTCGGCCGTGGCCATCAAGAAGTTCCAGTGCACGTTCTGCACAGACACCTTTGGGACCAAGTACGACTGGCAGAGACATGAGAAGTCACTCCACCTCTCATTGGAAAGGTGGATGTGTGCACCTAACGGCCCTCGGGTCCTTAACCCCCAGAGCAACCAGAACTGCTGTGCCTTCTGCGGCGAAGCTGAGCCTAGCGATGATCACATCGAAAGCCACAACCTCTTAGCCTGTATGGAGAGGCGGCCTGAAGACAGGACGTTTTATCGCAAGGATCACCTGAATCAACACCTAAGGCTTATGCATAACGTCAAATTTCTTGACTGGAGTATGAAGTCATGGAAGGTCACTGGACCTGATATACGGTCGCGCTGTGGGTTTTGCGGTATAGCCATGTCGAACTGGTCAGATCGAGTGGACCATCTTGGGGAACATTTTAGGAAGGGCGCTACGATGGCTTCCTGGAGGGGAGACTGGGGTTTCGAACCTCCAGTGCTCAAGATGGTTGAGAATTTCATTCCTCCGTGTAAGCCCCCAAAATCCCATATTAAATCGATTGAAGAGTATCTGGCCATGGAGGCTAAACTCGACCGTATCAAAACTGACGTTGTGTAAATATACAGATTTGATCGAGAATGATCGCCGCTCTCCGTTCCCTTACATCGCAACCGCCGCTAAAGCCGAGACCCCCGAGAGTTCGTATGAGTTAATCAATCAGAAGCTAGATCTTTTTACAACCAACCACCAAGAGCCAACAATGACGGACTCGCGACGCCGGGAGTTGAATGAAATCGCACGAAAGCAGCCCTGCTCCGAAATGGCTACCGGAAAAGCGGGAGCGTTCTTCCTGACCGACGTCAACTGTTATCGACGCCTGAATCGCGAGTTGACTCGCTTCGTCACTTCCATCATGTCACTCAACAATCCGAACTGTCATGTACCCACCGACGCCGAGATTCAGCATCAGGCTCGGTGCATAATATTTGATGAGTTAGTGCCATTTCCATTCCTTTTATGATTGACATATGCTGACCACGTCCCAGCGACGACCCATGGAACCAGACTGCTGCCGATAACGCCGAGTGGCTGTTGCGATTCAAGCGTGATGTCGGTATCTTGCCTTCCGGGCCTGGTCTTCCGCTGGACATCAATTCCTGGAGCATCACCGACGGCGGCTCAGGTTTCGCACCTCCATTCGCCTTCCCCAACAAGAGAATGCTGCGCGCAACTTCATCCTCACCGGCCTCGTCCAGCGAGTCTCACAGCTCTGCCAAGGTTGAAATATTCGTCGGTAATGACGAAGCACCCTTTAAGACCAATCAGGCGTTGTTGGACGGGTATATCGAGACCTTCTCATCGCGCTACGACCGCCCTGCTACAGTCTTTTGCTCGCGCGAGCTGGAGAGCGGCCTCGTTAGCTTCGTCGAGGGAGAGATAGCACGTGGTGCCGGCTTCCCTTCGGATGAGGCGATGAGGTTGCGTGGCCGTGAGATTCTGGGCCGTGATAAGACGGCGGCTGATGATCCCGATCTGCTGGCAAGGTTCAAGGCGTGGATGATGAAGATACGCCACCAGCAGTCGGTGGCCATGCCCTATGATATCAACAGCAACCTGAATGACGCGGAAATAGATAGCATGTTGGCTGATGCGAACTTCGATGTGATGTTGACATCATTCTAGACAGTTCTTGTCGCATACACATGCCGAACCTTGAGTAAAATCCATGACCCCTCTATGGAAACTACAGCAGGAAATGACAACAATAAACTTGTGCAAGAAACCTTCTTCAGCTTAAGCTTTCATCCCGACATAAAATAACGGCGTGACTCACCTTCTTCTCGTGTATAAATATGATACTCCTCCCGTCGATTTAACAGGTCACTGTCTTATTCCAAGCTGACCGCCATGACACCAGAAGAGACGATCACCCTGATCAAGGCTAACCTGGCCGAAGTTCTAAACCCCGAGATAATCGACAATGTGATCCTCAGGGAAAACAGACCTCTCCGGGTCTACTGGGGAACCGCCCCAACAGGAAAACCACACTGCGGTTACTTCGTGCCTATGGTAAAGATCGCCGAGCTCCTCCACGCAGGGCGCCACGTCAAGATCCTCCTCGCCTACAAGCACGCACATATGGACAGCCACACGCCGCTCGAAACGATCAAGCACCGCTGTGAATATTACAGACTCCTCATCAGGAGCTCTCTCAAAGCTATCGGCGTGGATGTCTCCAAGCTCGAGTTTGTAGTCGGAAGCTCATTCCAAGACAGCAAAGAGTACCAGGACGACCGCTTTCGATTCTCTAATAATGTCACTGTAACACAGCTAATCAAAGCTGGGTCAGAAGTCGTCAAGCAGGGCGAGAATCCGACGCTGGGTAGTGTGGAGTATCCCATCTGGCAAAGCCTCGACGAGGAGTACCTCGATGTCGACGCGGAACTGGGTGGAGTCGATCAGCGTAAATTGTTTACCTTCGCCATCGACCATATGCCAAAGCTTAGCTACAAAGTGCGAGCACATTTAATGAACGCCATGGTTCCCGGTCTTGGAGAGGCACAGAAGATGAGTTCAAGCGAACCAAGCTCCAAGATCAACCTTCTCGATACCCCTGAAGAAGTCACCAAAAAGCTCAGAAAGGCTGTATGCGCCCCGAAGCAGGTTGAAGGAAATGGCGTTATTGCGTTTATAGAGAATGTCATTTTTCGCGTGGAGTCACTGAAAACTGGTGGTAAGCCAAGGTTCACGGTTGAAATACGTGATGGTGGTACTTTGGTCTACGAGGATATTTCCAAGCTCAAAGAGGATTACGCCAGCGATGATTTGACACCGCAGATGGTCAAACCCGCGCTGATCCAGAGGCTTAATAATCTTCTAGATCCCATCCGGAAAGACTTTGAGGCTGATAATGAGTGGCAACGCATCGCCGAGCTGGCTTACCCAGTTCGAGTGAAGCCTGAGAAAGCGAACAAGGTGAAAAGCAATGGCAAGAGATCTAAAGAGCCGAGTATTCGGAAAGCAGATGATTTGCCGTAAACAGTAATCGACTGGCTTCTTCATGGGAACAGGTCAGGATCAGATTTCGCATTAGCTGAGTCAGGTAGCCAAATTCCACCTCAGACTCAAGTCTCACTGTTTGCTCCAAATACGAGTGACCCCGCATACATTGGCTGCAATTAATCGACACTAGCCTTTAAAGGGAAGATATGTGAAAGAACAGTGCTTATTTCATGATAGATATATTCTGCTGTTATGACGTCAACATTATAGTCACCAGTTGCTGAGATATCATTAGCTTTGACCATCAGTCACGATGATGGCAACGTGAGAGAGTCATTTGTATGCCTCCATGAGCCGGATATGGGAAACTCTTATGTGCGAGTCTCATCTGGGCGTCGAATTTGTAGTCAGAAATGACGCCCAGTATTGAGTTTTGATTGATGTCATGTCCCTCATCGCCCTGATCTCACTTTTTATAAGCCCACGAAGCCGCCGACAAAGAAAGTCTCTTTTACTGCCATTTATCGCGTCTTGACATTTCAAGTTCCGTGATTTTATCCCGGTCCAGTATTTACTGGCATCACATCATCAATATCATAAGACATGGCGGCCAAAAACCCTGATTCCCTCGTCCCCCAAGGGCCTTTTCATGCCCGTATCCATCCATCTCACCCTGCAGTACACAAATGGGTTAGTAGCCACATACAACCTACTTACTTCATTTTCTCAACATCTATAGCACAAGCCAGGAAATGAGCAAGGGAACGATGCCGCACCAGAATACCACGCTGAGACCTTTCCACCGGGAACTGCACCCACAGAGAATACTTTCCGCCCGAATCCCGAGAGCAACTACACCACTGAAGCCTTGAACATGCCTGCTCTAGACATGCCAGGCTCGACGTCAAAGGACATCTACAATTCTATTGACAGCGTGCACGGCAGACCATTGATCGGTCAAGAGAACCGTGAAATCAGGGGAGTCCATCCGAGGAAGAGAAAGAAGGAGCGCAGTGGCCTAGAGGGTGTCGGTGCAAGTACAGCTTACTCTGTGTTTGATAAGGTGAGGGATACGGTTGCTGATAAGCCCAATGTCGAAAAGGGACTGAGGGGATATTCTGGGAGACGGGAGGGAGGATTGGCTGCTGATGGAGCAGAGTCCATGCCGCCCGTCAAGGCAGACGAGCGGGCTGTTCGTGAAGGCCCTCATAAATCTACTGCTTGATAATGGGTTGGTAGTACTAGAGCTACATAACATGACCTCTTTCTACGTTATGTCCCATTTGAGTATCTGTGTTATTTGAAGTTGAGGACCGTGCTGATTTAAATTATCACCCACAAGAAAACTCAGTGTCCCATTTGAGGATGATGTTTTTGATAATCGCTTACCTTGAGTGATTAGAATTAAAGAATTACCTTTTGGCTGCAGACAAGTGCAGTAGGGACACTAGAGACATCGACAAGGGGACTAGCGGAACCGTTCGACAAGATTCTTTGGGCTCCTTTGCCCATTTTAACTTTGGTTAGTACCCTGAAAATCAGGGATTAACCAAAGTCGTCGTACCACAAGCAAAAGAATTAATTGGCTGGATGCAGGTCATATCTCGCATTTGGCACAGTATGAGAGTGCTGTGATTGATTGTAACCCTGGGGGATGCAGGGGATGTACATGTAGGTATACGAGGCATCAAGACAACTCAACATATCGTCATTTGATTATCACCCCAACAAAGATTCCAAATCAGCATACAGTTTCCAACAGACTTTAGGGGTATCAGGCCAGCTCATATACATAATGACTTTTAGTTTTCATCATGATCTGTAATAAGCGCGGGGCCATTTCACGGCAGCTTTTAGTGCAATCACCTCATCTGTCAAAACACCGCTGAATTAGGCAATCATCTTTCGCGTACAAGTAGTTTGCGTCTTTGCATTCGTAATGCCTACAGCCCTCAGTTAAGAATAATGACACATTATGATGGTCCTGACACCTTAGACATGTGAAAATGTTGGCTATCATGAGAAAACCTGTTCGAGAGAACCTTGTCCATTGGTCTAGGTGTCTATATAATTTGCCTCCGAAACACACGGCTAGAGTTGGGGGACTCTGCCAAAGACCATCAAACTTCAATCTTGCCACCATTTACACTGCCAAAATGAGTCAAGTCTCTGGAAAAGCGCCCGAAAGGAAGTGGTGGAAGGAAGCTATTGTATACCAGGTTTGAACTTGTTTTCCCTTACTACTGCGCGAGACTTATATGGCGTTTAGATCTATCCTGCGTCGTTCCTTGATACCGACTCCAATGGTGTTGGGAACATCAATGGGATCACTGCTAAACTGGACTATCTCAAAGAATTAGGCGGTAAGAAATGGTCCATCTATCTGTTCATGATCTAACGACTGTTTTTCCCAGTGGACATTCTATGGATTTCGCCAAGTAAAACTCACCTCATCCACAGTAATGCCTCTGATCTAACTCTGTTATTAGTTTACGAAAGTCCACAGAAGGACATGGGGTATGACATTGTACGACACCAGTTTCCTGATGCGATTAAAGCAGCACCCACTGACTTTCTCACAGTCGAACTACCGTGGTATCCATCGTCCCTACGGCACAATGCAGGACGTCCACCACTTGATCGACGAGCTCAAGGCACGCGATATGAAGCTCATCATGGATCTGGTCGTCAATCACACCTCAACTGAGGTAAGTTACCGCTTCTAGCTCTATGTCCTGTTTTACGTGACTGATTTCACCTGACACCATAGCATCCTTGGTTCATCGACTCAGCCTCGTCCGCAGTAAGCGCGCGCCGAGACTGGTACATCTGGCGCAAGCCAAAGTATGATGCCCAAGGGAATCGGCAGCCACCGAATAACTGGTGCAGTCTCTTTGACGAAACTGAGTCGGCCTGGACCTACGACTCCAAGACAGATGAGTACTATCTCTCGCTCTTTAGCCCGTTCCAGGCCGATCTTAACTGGGAGACGCCATTTGTCAGAGAGGAAGTGTGCGATATACTGCGCTTCTGGCTCGACAAGGGCGTCTCTGGTTTCCGGATGGATGTCATCAACCTCATCTCCAAAGACCAACGATTCCCCGACGCAGAGATCCGTCATCCTGGTAGGAAGTACCAACCGGGAGAATGCTTCTTTGCCAACGGGATCCGACTCATGGACTATCTCCAGGAGATGAAGACCGCCGTCTTCTCAAAGTACGACGCCCTCACGGTCGGCGAGATGCCGTACCTCAAGGACGAAGAGGAGAGAATCAAGATGGTCGCGGCGGAAGAAGGCGTGCTGAACATGATCTTCACCTTTGAGATGATGGGCCTCGACATCGTTCCCGAAAAGGGCCGCTTCAGCAATAAGCCGTGGAAGGTCAGTGAGCTGAAGGACATAGTCGCCAAGGCTTGCAAGCTCGTTAATCAGGACGGATGGCACACGCTGTTCTGCGAGAATCACGACCAGCCTCGTTCTGTCACGCGTTTCTGTGATGACTCGAATGAGCATCGTGTCGCAGGTACCAAGCTCCTCTCCATCATGCAGACAAGTCTCCCTGGTACCCTGTATGTATACCAGGGCGAAGAACTTGGCATGCGGAACATACCCAAATCCTGGGCACTGGAGGAGTACATAGACATTGAGTCTATTTCCTACATCAAGAAGTAAGTCACATAGCTCTCATCCCTTGAGAAAGTTACTGACATGATCTTCTTTGTGTAGTGTCTGCGCTCAGTTCCCAGAAGGGTCTCCCGAAAGGGAAGAGGCAAAGAACCTTCTGCGACTCAAAGCGCGCGACAATGCCAGGACCCCTATGCAGTGGGACTCTACTTCCAACGGCGGCTTCTGCCCCGTGGGAGTCAAGCCCTGGATGCGCGTAAACGACGACTACAGATTCATCAACGCGGCACTACAGACTTCTGCAGCTCGGGCAAACGACCGCACCATGCTCGTGTCACCTTATCGGTTCTGGCAGCGAAGTATCCAGATACGCAAGAAGTTCAAGGACCTGCTTGTCTATGGGGACCTTGAGATTGTTGATGGCACACACCCGAACGTCTTTGCGTTCAAGAGGATTAGCAACGACAGACATACCATCACGATCCTTAACTTTAGTAAGGACGAGGTAAGCTTCACGTTTCCAGAAGGTGAGGGGGTCAGGGGTTGGGCTCTCGGGAGTTATGATGTTTTGTCTCTGGAGAAGCCCAGGTCGGGGGAGATACAGCTTCTGCCTTGGGAGGGCCTGCTAGGAATTACTTGAGGGATCTTTTTCTTTGGAACGGAGGTATCAGATTGTCATTAATGGCTATGAGATTGGTTTGAAATAGTCAGTACAGAATGTCACGCATTTTAATAATACTTTACTTATTATACCATGCTTATAATGGTGGAGGTCCTCTACTCGACTCACTGGCTACCAAACTACAGCATCTAGTACAATAGATGAGCTGCTGCTTCAATCTTCTAGGAGGCAAATATTTGCAGTAAAGTCCTCCGCTCACGTGGGTCGAGTACTATTGCTGCATAACATGCTTATAGGCGTGTATTGAATTAAGTGGGAGGACACAGATACTTAAATCGAACCTTGCAATCTCTACAGATGCCATTCAACTCAAATCTTTGACTCTGTCCTCATACCCATCAACCAAGTCTCGATATCCGCCTCACTGTTGCTTTTCAACCATTTCATCGTTGTATTCCGCACATGAGTCGAGACCTTCTCATACTCAGACCGATCCTGCATGAGCTTAGTGATAACCTTGACCCATGGTGCTACATCCTGCTCGGGTATCAAGTATCGCCCCGACTCGTCGCGCTGTCCAGTGATGGGAGTCACCGGGATGATATAATCCAGCCCAAGCATCGACTCAGACAGCGCACCTGCATTCGATGACACAACTGGAATGCCCCGGAGGTGAGCTTCTACCACCACCATGCCCCAGGCCTCGCACCAGAGCGACGGAACGACAAGAACTTTAATATCGCGCCAGAGATCTTTTGCTGTGGCACAAGATGGACGGACACTGCATACTGGTTAGATAATTCTCAACGTATAAGGGTACTTTAGCAATAGTGGTACTTACGTCATGTTAGACAAGGCTTCCATATCCTTCACAGTTGCATCGTCGGCGCCCCAACTCATATAGGTCAGAAACTCCAACTGCGGACACTTCCGTGCCAGATCGACCAATATCCTCGCACCCTTTACCGGACAGGGGTTGATCATACCTACAAACTTCTTGTCCCAGTTAAAGACCCGATCAGGGATGGCATGATCCTTGCCCACCAGATACGTCCAGGGATGAAGCACCAAGAACCGCGTTTCGAGCTGGCCGTGCTCAAGCGCATACTTTCGTATCGTATCTGACACGCTCCAGATCCCATCGAGCTTCTGGAAAAGATCTGCTTCACGCGTCGTACTCGAATGGCCGGGCAAACCACCCGCAAAGGGGCCAAAAGGGAGTTGCTCGGCTGTATGCACAACTGCTATGCGAGACATGGTTAGATGCGCTAGCTCTGGGGCGAGGCTAGCTTTCATGGATAAGCCGTCATTGGAGATAATGTGCGTTGGAGAAAAACGTTTGATCTCTTCTTGCAGGAAGGAGATAAAATCCATGAGCGGTCCCGGTGAAGTTCCATTCTACGGAGACGTAGTCAGCAATGTTAGATACAAACCTGGACTTAGAGGTGCTTTGAATTACCTCGATGTACTCGGCTGACATCCTAGCCAGTTGGTTCGATGATTCTAACTTGCCACCAAACGCCGCGTCAAAGGCCTCGCTGTCGAGTGCCAGCGCCTCAACACCATCTTCCATAGATAGCTCATGCACCTGCACATCATTTCCGGGCTTGTCGCTCTCCGACCTCATGTGCAAATATCTGGTACGGAGTCGCGAATCAACCTCGTCGCCACTATTCATATAGTTCTCTACCTCGCCACGGTAAGAGTAGCATAGCTGGCGGACACAGTGACCTCTGGACGAGAGGTAGCGCAATAGCGCGTTATTAGCCTTGTAACCGCCCGAAGAGGAAAAAAGACCCTTTGCGGTCTGGATGAGAAAGACACGCATGCTGTTGTGTTTTTGCTTTATGAGAGACTGGTAGATGGTGTAGTGGGATTTGGGAGCAGGGATAAAGTGAGATCGGGGAATGAAAATATGTAATGACATCAATGAGGATTAAATGAAATTGAGAAAGCATTTCAGAAGTACAACCGAGATTTATGTAGTGAATTTTCAGGGACGAAACCTTCGCAGTCGGAAGTTTGAGGTAAACACAAGTACGTAGGGTTGCGTTAATTTGCCTCAGAGTTCTCATCACAGAACCTCATATCAAACCTTCACAGTGACGCAATTCGCCTATTAGCAGAAACTGTTGTCCTTGCCATTTATTAAGTCTATCACCACTGCAGACAAATGATCAAGTATTATCTGCAACAAATAATTAAGATGTAGAATTTCACAGATAGGATCAGAATGGCTGAAGATTGATGTTGTTATTGCGCTGTCTGTCGAGGGGGATAGTCAACATGACCACGCGCAAAGTGTCTTGGAAGCATCAATCGTTGGAGGGACCACCGAAAGCGCCCCGTGGACTGAAGAAAGACGCAAAAATAACATCATCCTCCAGCATATAAGCTTCCACCTGCAAGGATCCTATAGCATTACTTAGGGATAAATAACCCATTTAAGCGCTTTCACGGCTATGTGCACATGCCTTTCAAAACCTGAACTTAATTTGGACTTTTCAGTGTGTTGGCTTGATATGTCTCGCAGAGATATCATAAGCTTAAAGTATGAATCAATAGAGCGCTTTCACGACGAAGCAGCTTTGTGAAAGGTTTATGTTAATTGAACCTTACCTCCTCACCAAATATATGCGGTAATGCTCAGATCTAAGCTTCGATATAGAATAAACTGTGTCTGATACACTATAGGTCATTGGACAAAGCAGATAATAAACTTCAAGGAAGTCGCGTGATCTTAGCATCAGCTGTCAGGTCTGTCAACTTAAAATAACACTTTTGTCAAACCAGTTCAGTTCAGGCAGTATATGCTTATCATTTACGCGAAGTGAATTTATTTGTCAGATAAATGTATCGTGAAAACAACGTGGTTTTTGTTTCCCATGACGCGCCTAACAGTTCCCAATGATGGACCGGCGGTGGTGAGATTACTTGCGGTTATTATATTCTTTCCGTGAAGCGGATAGAATGCTAGCGACTCTGGAATACCATCAGTGGTGATTTTTATGACATTTCTATTCATCCTGTATCACAAGTCCTCGTTAGCTAGCCCATAAATTATGGGCTTCTCGTAGCGATGCCTGTCGAAAATCACATGGACCTCTCCGCAGAGTCTAGGCTGCACAAAACACCAGACACCACTTGAGACAGATTTGACGACGTGGACGATTGGACTCCCTGATATCGGTGACTGGGAAGAAATAGGTAGATCGCAGCCATCGCTTTGCTCCTACTCCTAAGCGGCTATATCACCAGTAACATCATACCAGGCAATACTAACTGAATCGCCGAGAGTTTGAGCGTCGCTGCTCCAACTGACGACGTCACATTTCCCCATGGGCTTTTGTGCAGAGCCTTTGTTAGGTGGTCCCACTATGCGAGCTCTACGACTGGCAGTGGCTGCTCTGTCTTGACTTCACTCTCTACTTCCACTGAACGTGCTTGGCAGCCTGGCTGTCAAGATTGGGTCAACTGATTGTAGGAACATTTGTTGCTGGGTAATTCGCTGCAGGGATCGTTGACATCGGGGGGTGTGTGCTCGTCGATAAGTACCAGTTCGTTAGTTACATGGGCGTCTTGATCTGTGTATCTTGAATTGGCCCGGTGCTGCGTAGGGGTATATCTAGGTGCTTTCAGCTGGAGAGGAATTCTCGTTGGGGTCTGTCTATGCTTTTCCCTGGCTCAGATTGTTCAACATCATTCTCATGACAGTTCCTGCAGCGGAGGGCCCAACGGCCCTGCGCGGACGATGGAAGTGAACATCGATTGAGACCACGGGCACGAACTACAGGCTACAGGGGAGGCTTGGAGACCAAAGAACCTTTAGCTCTATACAGTAACTCGAGTCCCTCTGTGGATCCGTACTTTTGGCACCATCTCTCTACAGTGTTATCTCTACTCATGTCTCAATGCTGCCAAGCAATAGATGCTCTTCGACATGTGTCCTGTTGTGTTCCAGGATATGAGAGGATGGAATACCACTGTATCGCAGCTCCCGGTTCTTGGGCTGGCCGTGAGTGCCGTCCTTGACCCTGAAGGTGTCTCATAATACGAGGAGTGGCAAGACAAAGGCGATTCTGGGCAGGGAGACACTCCCTGAGGGCCACTTAGTTCTAACCATGATAGGCCACATGGGATTCCTGATTCCTATCCTTTGGTCGTGTATGCCGGAGCCCCCAGTACAAGTCAGTGTACTGTTACAATCTACAAGTAGATTGGGACTGATCATCCGCTAGCGTGCTTTGGATCGTGTCACTCTCTGTCGACACGGTTGGCGATATGCCTGATGGTGATCCATGTATGTCCTGCTTTAGTTGAATGACTGGCACCTCTGCGGACTAACCCATCTCCATCATTGGAGCCAACATCGTCGCGAGATGTGTTAAAAATGGTAGGGTTCCTCTTTTCATGAGGCAGATCCTTGATGCGATTGGCGTCGCGATTTCGGTGATTTCCGGGGTCGCAGCATCTCCCCTTGTCATGATACCATGTATGTATTTACCGTTATGGTGACATTATTCGGAAGAGAAGCAAATATACTCTGGATCAAGATACAGTACGACATATTACGCGTGTGCGGGATACCGAGGCCGTTTGCGTTGAGAGCCAGGGGACGTGGGACGTCATTCTCGCGACAGGACTCGACATTGTATCTTGGCTTGATAGGACTAAATCCCGTTTAAACTCTGATCCTTAGCTCCTGGTCCAATACACTTCGGGTAAACAACTTACGCCCATCACATTTCGTGACAGGTCATAGTTTGACTCTCGGAAACATCTTCGCTTCCGTTTGATGAACGAAGGATCTTCGCTCACACCATCTTCAGCATCACCTTTTGGAGTCGTCTAGAAGATGCTCCCACCGCCGGTTCTACCTCTCGCCTGTCCGTCCTCCCATGGTTGGTCTCATGCATAATTAGGTTTGCCGAAGATGAATCCAGACCTTTTGTAGGGTCCAGAGGAGCAGGGCTATGAGGGGTTCAATTGGTGGGCGGCGCATGGCTGACTCTGCTACTGATACAACCCTGAACCAAGTCAAGCCTTCTGAGCCGCCACGGTCAAGACCCCTCGCTTACTAGCCTGCCTCTTATCACATTTCAACGATGATCCCCACGGGCTGAGTAATATCACAGTGCAAGGGCACTATTCCGGATCTTTGGTAGCCGAGACACATCACAATGGGCGCGAAAATACAAGGGATGAGTGCTTTGGTGCGATTAAGCGACGTAAGGTTTTTCTTTCAATCAAGACAAAAGCATAGTATGGGTCAATGGGGAATCAATTCGCTGGCGTCTGGTAGGCATATCGGCCGAATGCATCAAGACTAAGATTTATCTCCCTCCTTTTGCCTAACGATACTCGGCCAATGGCTAGGTAGTGGAGATGCTCATCTAAGCTAGAGAGCCTTGAATGTGATAGTCGATGGGATGTTAGAGCGGGGTAGTTGTGTCGACTGAATCTGACATCCCATGACGACTTAATGACTATCGACTATGGGCATCCCTGTCCGTAATGTACCTTGCAGTATCAGCGCTGCAACACACCGTGTTTATCTGCCGGAGATATCATTTCCTTTTGTCAATCGGTGGCATTTATAAAAAACCCACGAGGCAATGTGCTAAACGCCAGCGATGCCATCTTGAAAAGAAATTTGAAAAAAACTCGCCTGCACCGCATTTAGCTTTTAGGGTACATTTAAGCGGCTGGCGACCAGATGGATTAATCTCGGGTTCTGTCAAACAATAGAAACCCGCAAGAACAAGAAGCTTGACTGAGATTAAAACATAGCGGAAAGGTCAAAGTAAGTGTGAACATGCCATGAGCTTTGCTAAAGACTGCTGTCGAGAAATGGGGTTCTCTCTCGGCATCTGTGTGTTGCGTCATATCTTTGCAACGTCTCTAACAGATGCATTACCAGTCTTTACCATGGAGCAATGTCCCAGTGCACATGCAGATCAAACCCTCGATATATCAACGATTGGGAACTTGGCTGCTACCTCTAATCTTTTGGGGACTCCGTGGTTCTATGCATCTAACGATGACAGTGACCAGTATGCACTCAACGGAAGTGAAGAGTACATACCCAGATACCTCAGTGATCCGACTCTGGTCGATTGGTCTGAGTCTCTGCTCTCTCAATCATATTCGACACCTCAGCAGGATTCGTCATTCACAAGCCTCACGACTCCTCCGAACAATGTCGAGTACCCTCCCGAATCTTGCGTGCCTCAACTACGATCAGAGTCCTCGATCTTATCGAGTTCTAGCAACACCATTGAGTATCATCCAGAGTCATCAAAGGGGCCAAATCACTCAGACATCACCCATGTGTCCAGCAACCCAGAGGTCACCGAGCACTACCACTCTCTACCAACACAGCCTGAAGCAAAGAAGCACAGGGTGAGCTCCGGTATAGAGAGCACCATGAGCCTGCCCGAAGACATCCTCACCGCGAGTGTCCAGAGACAAGCCGACGCTCCCCCACCCACCAAAAGGCGTGACACGGTCGACAAGACAGACACCTCATACATCAAGAAGGTCAGGGAGAGGAACAAGCGGGCTGCAACAAAGGTCCGCATCAAGCAGCGGGAACAAGAGAAGAATCTTGAGTCTGCCGAGAAGAAGTTGCAGGAGGCGAATCACAGGTTGACGGAATGTGTCAAGGAGCTAACTCACCAAGTCCACGACCTCAAGATGCAGTTGCTCCAGCATGGAACCTGTGACTGTGTACTTATTCAGGAGTACATTGGTAATGAAGCGAATCGATATGTTCAAGAGATAAGTGGATAGGCGAGGACTATACAAATAATTGTTATTCTTACAAGATCTAGAATGTTATAATGGCCTCTTTATCTGAGATTTTGCCTTATAAACGTAACTAACTACTTGAATTTGTATCTAAAACTCATGGTTAATAGTTTAACTTATTATGAAAGAACTTGATGTTTATCTCAAGCTGGACCATTATTAGAGCATCTACTCTCTTTGTGATAGAGTGCTGACTGCTGGAATCAATTGGGACTTTTCAGTGTGTTGGCTGGATATGTCTTGTCAAGATATCATAGCATTGACCTATCAATCAGTGTAGTACCAACTACCAATGCTATTGGGCGTGCTACTGCTCTGGGTGGATAGGCTGGATAGTCGACCTGATGATAGGGTGATGAATTTGAGCCGTATCAGCGACCATAGTCAATCCGTGCAGATCATCCAGACCAAACCTTGTTCTCGGAGGCAAGTTCAGAGAATACAGCATAGTCTAGTCATATTTACAACTAGATGCCGGGGATGCCAAATCCATCTTACATCATATTCCAGTCAGGAATGCTACTGCTTGACCCCCTCAGTGCTTACAAGCATAAAGCCTTATCCGTCACTACAGCCAATACAGTTAGTCACACCAGTGTTGCTGCATGCTAGATCTTAGATTGGACTGGGGGTGACATATATGCATTGGGTGGTAGGTGTGACATGCTGCATTCTTTTCAGCTTTTCCCCAGACCGGCGTTATTTCACGCAGATCCCAGATCCACCAATCAAGTGAGGATATCTAGTCGGGTCGGCCTGGCTCCGGATGTGAAGTATAATTTACTGCACGAAGGCGTACGTATGATGATGATGATATGTAATGAGAAGGAGCATTTGATCCTCTTCAGATTATACTACACGATGTTTGCGTGAGGATTGAATTAGGATGATGAGACAATGCAGAAAATTGCGCATAATGACACATTCTCATCAGATGCTTCAGTTTGTTGACTTTGATATGTCGCTGAGACGTCATAAGCCTCAGTCTCGATCAACACATTCTCATCATCTCAGTTGAGAAGAGGTGTTGGTGAGATATGATAATTTACACAAGTTCGATGATAAAAGAAGGTCTGTTCCTGACGAAATCCTTCCAATAACAATTTTCAATCTAAAACGTCGTCCAAATTCAACAATGGCAGAAGTAGCTAAGTAAGCTCTCTTACATCCCCACCTGCAATTGAATGGTATGTAACATGTGACCCAAGACCAGTCTATACCACGGCATACAAACCTCACCCCAGCGAGAGGATGAAAGCAGCCACTTGGACAGGCACAAAGTCCATCACGCTGACCAGTGTGCCCAAACCAACCATCACGGCGCCCGCGGATGCCATCGTGCACATCACCCACTGCACAATCTGCGGCTCTGATCTCCACATGTACAACGGCGATATGAACAATGCCATGGAAAAGGGCCTGATCATGGGTCACGAGGCCATCGGCATCGTCGAGGACGTTGGGTCTGACGTCAAGAATCTCAGTGTAGGAGACAGAGTGATTATCCTTCCTGTTATTGCATGCGGGGACTGCTTCTACTGCCAGAGAAAGGAATTCTCGCTCTGTGACAAAACTAACCCCTCCAAGGAGCTGGAGCAGATGTACGGCCATCGCTTGTCGGGCATCTTTGGGTACTCTCTGATCACCGGGGGTTATCCAGGCGATCAGGCTGAGTACTGTCGTGTGCCGAACGCCGACCTCACATGCGTCAAGGCCCCCAAGGACATAGAGGCCAGTAAGCTCGTTGGTCTCGCTGACGTGACTCCTACCGCCTGGCACGGCAACGAGCTGGCCGAGGTAGGCAAGGGAGATGTCGTTGGCGTCTGGGGCTGCGGCGCCGTTGGTCTCTCGATCCAGCGTCTGGCAAAGCTGCGAGGTGCCAGCAAGGTGTATGCCATTGACAAAGACGAGCACCGCCTGGATATCGCCAAGTCCATGGGCATGATTCCCGTCAATGTCAAGGAGCACTCTGATACCGCTGACTACATCTTGTCCATTGAGCCGCATGGGCTGGACCGCGGCATTGAGGCAAGCGGGTTCAGGAGCACCAACTCAACTGCTCATGCGACTATGAGAGCTTTGGGAGTAGAGGGGGACAGCTCTGACACGGTGAGTGCGGCTATCAAGGCGACACGTAAGGGAGGAAATGTCGCGCTGATCGGGGACTTTTTCTACAATACCAACAACTTCCCCATTGGAATGCTCATGGAAAAGGGCATCACCCTGCGTGGAGGACAGCTCTACGCCCAAAAGGTAACACCCGTAAACTCACCTCGTGCTATGGGAGAGTACTAACTATCTTTCAGTACTTCCCTCTTCTTCTGGACCTTGTCGTCGAAGGGAAATACGACCCCTCTTTCATGTTCACCCATCACGGTACAGTAGCCAACGCGTCTCAACTGATCGTCGTGGTCTAACTCTTCTTCCTTCGCAGATAAGTTCGAGAACATCTCAAAGAACTATGATGCCTTCTTTAGTCACAAAACGCCGGGCGGACTTAAGGTGTGTCTCTCAACTGCCTTTGGGCGAGAACAGGGCGCAGCTTGAGTCTAAACATAATGAAGTGCGAATTGGCCTTCCTATGTCATTTCAATATTGAGAAATGGGCTCTCGACTTCTCTACACTCTTTACAGTAGCAAGACATGTTCCAGTCTTTACAGAATAGTACGGGTGTATAAATCCAATCTCATATCTTGACTCAATGGGAGAAACACATTGAGCGTAGACTGAAGACCCTCTTGCAGCCAGCCGTAAACTCTTAGCCGTGTGTATCATCTTCAAACAGCATGTCCGTAGAGAGGCTCTTAGACTTCAGTAGAGCACTTCTTGAGTGGCCTGGGATCTTCTTTGAACTCTTGTATCCATCTAAACGTGTTTACAGATACCAGCTTTATGCTAAGACCTTATATCGCGCGAGTAAATATCCACAAACTAATCACCTATTATAAAGCCTAGACATGATAGCCTTGGGCCACTTTGCCAGTTTAGAAAACTTGGTGTTACCATCCAGCTGTAAGTCGATGGCCTTTATAAGCCTCCTGGACCAGTCTTGGATATACCAAAACTGCTGCTCAACGAGGCTTAGAAGCACTGAAAAGTAAGACAACAGCGCATGGGTCGTTGGCCTGGATGTCCGATATGACTCTTGCAGAGATGACATATGGGAAGAACATGACCATACTGATATCCGCCTGGGTACCAGCATGTGCGATGAGAATCGCCGATCTTCGCAGCTGTAAGCTGGCAAACTCTTAGTCTTCCCTATCACAGTCTGATAAATGAGTGCGATAAAACGCCAAGAGACGACGCAGTGCTTGAAATGTGTCCAGAGGTAGAGCGCTGTGATCCAATGGCGGGTCGAAACTTCACGTTGCTAGTCAGTCCATGTTTGTTCCGTGATTGGAGCGGGACCACATACTCATAAAAACATTCTGTCCGATTCCATTTGCCAATGCTGAGAACGGCGTCTCCATAAGGCTCCGTCCCGCACCCGCGAGACTAGGTCGAACACCATGTATCAAGACAAAGATCTGCAGGATATCCGCCATGGCCTCTTCGGTCCGGCCCGCCGGGGAAAACGCATATATGATAATTGTAGATGAGAAGCAGAACGCAGGGTGCCAGTTCCTTTCGTCAATATTGTGAAATATGCTGCGGAACCCTTCCATGCCGCGGGTCTGGTGATAGGCTGCGAGATCGAGATATTTGTCCCTTGTTGCGGGTAACAGATGAGCCTTGTGCAAGGCGGCGATGGATAGTAGGCTGTGGGACAGAAGCGGTACATCATATGACATCTCGGGGAGGACCATGGCCAGATGTGCTGCATATCCAGCCTCAAGGCAAGGGTATTGGCTGTAATGGTATAGTAGTGGTGCATAAGCTCCAGGCCGTGGTCTTGAAAATCCAGAGACGCGCCCGGCATCGGAGCACTCCATAACCCAGCGACGGATAATGCATCAGGACTCGGGTTGGTCTCTGTGTTATCTATCTCAACCCGGCCGACTGGCTCTGTGTTCTGAGGAGACGGTTGAGATTGGGTCAAGCTGCATGTCATGCCACGACGGGCACAGTTGAAGCAGGAAGGAAGTTTTTCGTCGCACTATGATGAATTCACAACAAAGTCTAAGCACGGTCCCCCAACGTAACTAGGTGGCTTATCGTAATCAAGAGGCCCCATGATATCGTGACCATGACAGTCGTACCTTTACTTTCCTACGCTTACACCCCTGGCATCCGCTGCGTGACTTTGTATGAGAGCGTCGTGGTCTCATGGTGTGGCGACGTACGTCGTGTAGTGGATATCGGGTGAAGATGTGCAGATAAAACCGCGGGTTCGGACAAGATGGACGTGTCTGGCGGACAAGGGACTAGATATAAGCTTGAACCGAGAATAAAATACGAATACGCGGGTTTCGGATGGCTCGGGGATCGTGGTCATCCAATGGCAGGGCCTAGTTTATGATTGACATGATATGATGTGGATCTTTGCATCATATCCTTGTATCGCATCTGAGACTCGAGTTATTCCTATAATCAAGCTACAGTTTGGAAAGCAAGGCATGTAGACTATATGGTCTTGAAAATTATGTTTCTCATAGATATCGCACGCGAAGTGCTCAGCTACCAGAGGTGGCCGTTCTTTAATAGTGTGGCCTGCCTTTTAACGAAAGCCCGCGTCAAAATAATTTCACCCAAGTCGTTTAATCAGCCTCCAAGACGGGAAGCTTCTTTTCCGTAAGCCACTTATTCACCTCGACCATAGTATTCTCCCACAGTCCCTTGACCTGTCGATCGTCTCTAGCAACAGGATTGGGCTCCTCCACCTTTCCCACTGGAACAATAAACCTCCCCTTGTACTTCAGCGTGTCATTCTTGACCTCTGTCGCTGTCGCTGCGAATAAACAATTAACCGCGCCCTGCTCAGCAGTCAGAAACGACGCGCGAGCTATAGCCCTGACAAGAACGTTGTTGATAGCGAGCACACCCTCAGTGAGGACCTCCCCGGGATGAACAGCTATACAAGTAATACGTAGGTTCTGTGCCTCTAACCTTCCTTGGAGCTCTTGTGTAAGCAGAACTACGGCTGCTTTAGACACAGCGTACCGAATCATGTCGAAACCAAACATGAACCTTCCTATATAGCGCCATTGCCATGGGTATGACAGAACTGGATTCTTGAAGCACGTTGGCGAGTCGAAATTGAACTTGAAATTGGCTGGGAGCATGCTAATACTCGCAGTGGAGCTAAGATTGACGATCCTGACGTCGGTGCTAACGTCTCTGGCGGCGGTTTTTAGCAGGGGCAGAAGACGGTCGATTAGAATGAAAGGTCCCATATGGCTATAGGTGTTAGCTGGGAGGTGAGATAGTCAGTTAGGCTCCCCTTACTTGGCAACCATATGTTGTTCGTATTTCCCGTCTACTAACATGGTGGACGATGTTGATGCAGCCGCATTGTTAACTTATACATGGTCAGTTACAATCAAACACGCCGAACTCTGAGACGCACTCAAGATGTGCAGCTTTGTCTCTTTTCTCTTTAGTTCTTCGACAGCGTGAGTGATACTGACCGGATCATACAGATCCATCACGAGGTATTGAATATTTCTCGCATCGATACCGGTGTCTTTTGTGAGCTTGTCCTTGGCTTGTCGGGCTCTCGCTTCGTTTCGCGTGGTCAAGTACACCTTTGCTCCTTTCCGAGCTAGGAACCTGACTGTCTCGAGGCCAATTCCCGAGCTAAAGCTGCGTGGGACATTGTACTAATTCATGAACTCAAAACAGATACTCACCTGCCCCCAGTCACGACAGCGACTTTGCCGTTCAGATCCGGCATGTCTGTGGAGGGATTCCATTGCCGTGTCGCCATTATGTGTTGGCTCCCTAGCTGCTGATCGAGTCGAGATGAGACGGATGACGAGGGCTGGAGCGATGGCAGAACACAGGGAACTACTTTTCTGCAGAGTAAAGACATATTTAAACTGCCGCTGTTGTTTGCGCATTCGTGGGGTATATGATATATCCCATATGTGACCCCAGCACGTAATTCCATCTTTGAGTAAGGTACTCCCTATAACTCTACTAGAGGAGCCCCAAGTGTCGCACTAATAAAGCTTAGCTTAGCATCTCCGACCCAACCCCGCTAGCCTCCATCTCAACTCCACCGCACCTCCGCAACCAAAACCCGAACTAGCCCATCCATTCAACTCCAGATCATTCAAACAAATCCACAATGGGTCGGAAAACTAAGCAAAAGTCATGCTTCGCGTGCGTCGAGACTAAGCGTCGCTGCGACAAGCGATATCCATCATGCTCACGGTGCCTCGATCGGGAGTCGGTCTGCACTTATCCTTCTTTGCCGAGACGACAACCTCTTGACTTGATTGAGGCTGAAGCTGCGCCAGACGTGGGCTTCGGAGATATGTGGACCTCTGCGGCTGACACGAGTAATCTGGCTTTAGTTGGAGAAATGTCTGAGCAATGGCTCCTGGATCCCATCTTCAGCACCAATCTGAATTGTCTCTCGATACCGTCATGGACGCCCCCTCTATCAGATCCATCTTCCCTACCAGGTTCATCCTCAGGCGGCACTGCTGACTCTGGTCAGTTGACGCAGAAATCCCGGGATTTGAGCTGGTTTCTTGGACCTCAGTCATGGACTATAGGATATCACTACAACGCCCCAGACGTAATTCATCCAGCTTCCGTCTTCACTAATTTCATCCGAGGCTTACAAAATTGGTTATCGCGCTTTGTTAAGACGGGGCACAACCCTTTCATCCACCGACACCTCTATTCCGACTCCGGATATCCGCAGTGTATTCAAGATGCATACTCGGCGTGCGTCATCTCCAGCTCTGCAAGTAGCGAGAATGAAACCATCGTCAATGCAATCTCTGCCACACACATTACAAATCTACTGAATGATCAGCCCACCGGGGGTACCAGTATCATCTCCACCCGGGACCATCTGGCCCGCACTCAAGCTCTTCTCATTCACATCCTCCTCGCACTGTTCTCTTCCTCCATTGAACGTCGGGCAAGAGCTGAGAACCTCATCAGCCTTCTACACGCGTGGAAAAATCAGCTATGGGAGTCTGCAACACATGATAGCACACTTGCCTCACCCTTGCCAATCTTAGCAACTCCTAGCGGAACAGCAGTCGGGGAACTGGACCCTATCCCCGGCCTATATCGCTCGTTCATTCTGTCCGAATCCATTCGCCGCACTGGTCTGCTGTGTAACATCGCCACTGGTGTATATGGGGGATTGAAAGGGAGCAACATACAGTCATGCGGGGGCGACATCCAAATCACCACACAAGCCAAGTTTTGGGAGGCATCTTCGTCTGCACGGTGGGAGGCTGTTGCCCGACAGACTGATCCGTTGTTTATCTATTCGTTAAAAGGTCAAATGCTACTAGAACAGGGCGTTGTTGCTGCGGAGGTTGACGACTTTGCACGACATTTGTTCACTATTATGTGGGGATTGGAAAAGGTTGAGACTTGGGTCGTGAGGACGGGAGATGAGGTTTCCGTTGTGTACTAGGACACGCAAATACGTAATTGAGGTTGTTCAAACTCCGATCAGTGCCAAGTTGAACAAGCCTATTTGGCCATCTTAGCAACCTTGAAACTCACTGTCAGATATTGACTGATGCGTACCGAATGGCGGTCATGCGAAACGGCCCTGTTGTTCACGAGCCTAGGGGCCCAGGGTCGCTTTCGAGATTTATTATGACTATTGGCCAGACATCGGTTTACCAAGAGGGAAGATAATAGCAGATATCCCCGTCTTTGCTCGAATACCGGTCGCAATCCCCTTGGTCTCGGAGTGTATCCACTGGGACGACTCCGATCCATCTCCACCTACGTCCGCGCCAACTCCACTCCAAGTCCGGTGAAAGACTGTCTTTGACCCCGGCGACGTCTAAGGTAGCAATTGTTTCTCAATGTGATTAGCAATCTCGATGTACCTGGCGCAGATGGTCAGGGTCTCATATCACAAACCGCGCGTAGTAAAGATTTTTTGTCAATGGCGGAGTCGGAGAATTACAGAAGAGCAGGGCACCGATAATCTCGGGGTCCATAAGATTAAAAGGGACGTCATGTCTCGACATTGCATACTTCCAAGCTCACTTATCATCTATTCATCACTTCTCCATTGTCTACCATCCAGCCACCCAAAATGTCAGCCAAACAAGACTCTCTCATTCAGTGGATCACCAAGCTCAACGATGCTCTCTTCATTCAACCCAGCGACGAAACCGCCATCAAGGCTATAAATGAGGATGTTGATTCAAGCCTAGTCACCAAGTAAGAAACCCCATTCAACAAGCATGATTCAGTGCATCTGACCTGTGACACCCCAGGATCAATCACAACGTGTACACCTACGACCAGTTCAAAGGAGGTCTTCTCTACGTCCGTGGCTCGACGACAGCGGTCCAAGACGAATTCTCTGAGATTCTCACGTGGGAGGATCTAGAGAAGGGCGATGGTGTTGTGGCTGTATTGAGCAAATGGAGGACCAAGCATAAGGAAACAGGCGAGGAAACGACGAAGACAAATGTGATCCTCTGGGAGGTGAAGTTGATTGATGGGAAGAGAAAGCTTACCGGACAAACCGAGGTGGAGGCAATTTAGGTTGGATTGCTACTTTATGGATTTAAAGATGCTGTCGGGATGGCATGCATGGCTTACTATCCTTCATTGAATCTATCTCCGAGTACTACAAAGATTCTCATCACTCATTATTATCTCATATAAAATAAAAAGTCAATCAATCACAACAAAAGATCATAGGAGATAAGTAATTATTAAGATATGCTGTACTTCGTGTCTGTAATACAGAGTATATTATACAGAAATGAATTTTCAAGATGCCTCGAATAATCTTTTCCACCTAAGAGCCTGTCATATAACGATACAGACAGGAGCAGAGTCTTTATCAAACTCAGCACTTGTTGCGACTGACGCAAGATCCGGACTAATACATTGTGTTAGTGACAGTCGTCAGTGCAACCATTGAAGCTTACCTGGCTTCGAATGGTACCCTCCTTGCAGAAGCATCCAGGGACGCACTGCTTGGTACACGGTCGGGGCTCGGGTTCATTGCATGTCAAGGGACAAGCCGTGCCGCATTCAAAGAACTGTTCACCCTATTGATACATGTTAGATGAGGAAACGAAATCGAGGAGGTGAAATGCTTACAGCCTTGCATTTCGGAGTATTAGCCGCAGGAATAGCAATAGTGCTAGCGACGAAAAGGGCGATGAGGGAGAGAGAGTACTTCATTTTGAATGTTGTTGGATTGTTTGAAGGAGTTGAGATTGTGAGTAAGGTGTGAAGGTAAAGAGCAGAGAAGATGCTTCGGAAGATGCGGAAGCACAGGTCTTATATAGAGTTTGTTCTATTTAGATTCACATGCAATCTCCCTTGGTAACGTCGAGTTTAAAGTTTTCATCAAAGCACACGCCGCAACATAACATTCGATGTTCAAGGATCCACTAATGCCAAGATGATCTGCAAGAGACCTCGTAAAGTAAGGAATTGAGACAATGACGTTATAGAGTTGAATCATACATCTCAAGTCGGAAGCTATCATCGAGGCAAGGGAGTATCTAGAATTCATGAATGGTTAATTGTCTCCTAACAACTGATGAAACCATCTCTGAAACAGTTAAATTCCAAGAGTCGGTATATTTCTCTGTATTGGACTGGCTTGACTTCGCCGCTCTACCTCCTCGATAAGCCGTTAGTGGCCGGCCGGCCCGAGATGTTGATCATGCCGGCATTGAGCCTCTTAGGTAAGATGCTTAATTTTTTACTGCACTCTAGTTCGTGTTTCTGCAAGGGGAAAATTCTTCAATTTGAATGACTTGCTCATTTGATATTGAATGAACTTTTGCTCATGCAGTGTACTTGATCAGGGAGTTGACGACAAGACAACCAAGTCTTGGTTAGAGGGCAGTAACGTAAATGAAAATTTTGTCACGGTCGAGTATTTGAAGTTGGGTGCATTTAGTTGAAAAGGGACATAGCTTGCAATATGTCTCTCTATTGTGTTATAGCCTTAGCAGCATATACATGTATCTTGATATCTCTTCTTGCCAAATCCATAACTGCAATATGCCATATTTTGCTGGTAAATCTTTTGCTCATATTCATATAACCTCTTTTTTCTTTTTTCCTTTTTCTTTTTTTCTTTTTTTTTTTCATAACCTCAAGCCTGTTTAATCTCATTCTGAATTCCTCATGTGTCTTTGTCATTGACTTATTCGGGACACAGAGGTTCATAGTCGCATAGAGACTTGTTGATGGGCACCACTTCAGTGGCCAATGTGATGAGATCGCCACCATCAGCCAGATTCTGGGACGATGGGTATTCCCGAGTGTATCGGTCTCTGCTTTCAGAGACTGCGACTTGCGACTTTGGCTTCTCGTTCACACGAGGCCACGTCTCATTGCCAGTCGCAGCCCACATAGCCCCCCGCTCTAGTTCGGTTTGCTGGGGGGCCGGAGGTCCGTACAACTCATCCCAGCTCTCCTTGGGCGCCTCCTCGTAAGTTGACTTTGGCAAGTCTGAAGAGCTCACCTTGCCATTGTAGAGGAGCTTGTAGCCCACATACCTGAACCACTCCAAGTCTCGCGTAAGGAGGCGCCCCTTTCCATGCAGCTGCCAGTAAAACGGCCACGACTCATGCGTGGCCTTGGTGTCGCCAGACTCGTACAAGCCAAAGGCTGGCTCGAGGGCTGCAGCAAGCTTGACGTCAGGAGTCTTGACAATCTTGCTGTTGGGACGGCCTGTCCCAGCGCTGTATTCGTGGAAGCGCTGGACCTGGCGGGCCAGGAGTCGGACCTTTTGGTCAAGGGAGAGAGACATTTTGGAGTTGGTGTGGATGTTGGGAGGGGAAAGGATTGGGGAGGGAGATAAAGATGGGTTTTGTTGGTGATAGAGTGGAAGAGGGAGGTAATTCAGGTGGTAATGACTTGGTCTTGTGAGAGAAATGAGAAGTTTGTGAGAAGACTTGAAAGTAGTAAGTCTAGAAGATTGTAAAAGTGATAGTTAAAGGAAAGAAAAATCTAGGAGAAAGGAGCCGGGAAGCAGGGTATTTATAGAGAAGAAGAATGATTTTTGCTTTTAACTTCTAGGTAGCTTGAACATTCCAGATATGAGAGATTTCGAGAAGCTTTATGTCTTTCTAACTTTACTTTCTACTATTACAGTGTGAACCGCAGTCTCATTGGAGCATGCACCATAAGCTTTCCGGTCACGACATCAACTACGGTCCAGGTTCATAAACAATACTGCCAGCGAAGAGTTTAAACGCATGCTTAGAATTGCACTCTTCCCTAATTCGATGACCTTGCGTATCCTACTTTCGGATGCAAAGTTAACGAAGTTAATGGGGTGAAAAGGCCTACCAGCAAAGTTCTGAAGCAATGAGAGATAGCCACTATGCACTGTTACTCCTCGACTATACAGGGAAGTTAACGAAGCAACAGAACTTATTCAGATCCTAACAATACCGCATCTCAGGGTTTTAAAGGTTACTCGGTCACGCTCTGCTGCCTATTCGCGGAACTGCGAACTAAGTTTGACTGCCTGTGACTTTAGAATTTCGGTTTTAAACCGTACTTCGGAACCGACGCAGCTCGTTGAAAAGTCAAAAGCAGATTCGCAAATCAGAAACAAAAGAGAATGTAAGATGAGGCAAGCTCAAAGTAGAAGTAATACAACACAGAAAGGTAAGATGAAAAAGGGTTCACACCAACTCATCGCTCATCACCACCTGGCCGCTCAAAACCTAGATCGAACACATCCCTTTCCAACCATCTTACGTCCACTTTCACAAGAACACTTCTTATCCGCCCAAACAAGGTTCCCATTATCACAAACACACTTCCTCGCATACCCATCCCAACTCGCCGCATCTCCACAATCAACAGTACACTGATTCTTCGACCAAACCTTTCCATCAGGACATCCACAAGTCTTCTCATCTGCATCGAAGATCTGACCCTTCTTATCGCAAACACAGGTATCAGATTTCGAGTTATACGAAGCGTAATCTCCACAGTCCGTGATGCACTCTTTAACACTCCAGATCTTACCGCCCGTGCATCCGCAGCCGAGGGTAGTAGGGTTGAAAGCCTGACCCTTTTTGGGACAAACGCAGGTTTGAGACTTTTTGTGCCATGAAGCTAGTTTGCCACAGTCGATATGACATTGCGCATCGGACCAGACTAACTTATCGGTACAGGAGCATGTTTTCGTTGCACTATCAAAATCCATGCCTTCTTTATTGCACACGCAGCCTTTTGCGGCGTTACTCCAGCACGCGTCAGAGCCACAATTCGAAGCGCACATCTTGCCGTTCCAGCGCGTATCAGTAGGACACGTGCAAGTCTTGTCTTGATTAAACGCCTGGCCAGCCTTTTTGCACACACAAACATCATCTTTGTCGTAGGCGTGCGAGCCGCAGTCTTTCTTGCAGCCCTTCTTTGTGGGTTTGTAGCCATCTTTGCAGACGCACTTTTTGTCGGAGAGGATAGTATTGGGCTTGGTGCAGATACAATTGCCTTCGGTGTCCCGGGTTGAACCGTCGCAGCATTTCGGTGTGCATTTGTCTTTGAAGGGCTCGTTGCCGAGTTTGCAGGTGCAAGTGTTTTTGGAGTCTAGCTCGGCGAGTTTGTCGTCACAGATGCAGATGTCTTTGTCGTTGCGGGTGGAGCCTTTGGGACACTCTGGCTTGCACACGCCGTTGACAATCTCATTATCAGCTGCAGTACACTTGCAGGTACCGTCTTCCTGGCGTGAGGAGTCCTTTGGGCATTCGGGCTTGCATTCTCCTTTGATGATTTCGTAGCCAGCGGTATCGCACTTGCAGGTGTTATCTTGCTGACGGGTAGATCCTTCAGGGCATTGCGGTTTGCACTCGCTATCAACGATCTCATTGCCGTCAGTAGTACACTTGCAGGTTCCATCTTCTTGACGAGAGCTTCCTTCGGGGCAACCGGGCTTACACTCTCCCTTGACGAGTTCATAACCCTCGGTGTCGCACTTACAGGTGTCATCCTGTTGGCGAGTAGATCCTTCAGGGCACTCAGGCTTGCATTCCCCATTCAAAATCTCATAGCCATCAGTGGTACACTTGCAAGACTTGTCCTCCTGACGTTCTGAGTCTTTAGGGCATTCTGCCTTGCATTCGCCTTTGACGATCTCAAAACCCTCTGCATCACATTTGCAGGTATCGTCCTCTTGACGGGTTGAGTCCTTCGGACACTCTGGGACGCAGGTACCCTTGACAATCTCATGGCCCTGGGCGTCGCAAAGACATGATCCGTCGTCTTGACGCTTTGAGTCCCTGGGGCACTCAGCTGTGCATGTGCCCTTTACGATCTCAAAGCCATCTGCATCACATTTGCAACTGCCGCCCTCTTGGCGACTCGAGTCTTTAGGACACTCCGGCACGCAAGTACCCTTGATTATCTCGTAGCCGTCTTCGTTACACTTGCAGGTATCATCTTCTTGTCTGGTTGACTTGTCGGGGCAGGTAGGGGTACAGACATTCTTGATGATCTCGTAGTTATCCTCATCGCACTTGCAAGTATCATCTTGCTGTCTCGTCGAGTCCTTCGGGCAAACAGGTATGCAAGCACCTTTGATGATTTCTTGCGCTTCATCATCACACTTGCAAGTATCGTCGGATTGTCGCCTTGAGTCTTTAGGGCAGACAGGGACACAAGAGCCTTTGATGATCTCTTGGCTGTCGTTGGTGCATTTGCAAGTGTCATCGGACTGACGGGTCGAATCTTTAGGGCAGACAGGCACGCATGAGCCTTTGACTAGTTCCTTGCTAATATCATCGCATTTGCAAGAGTCATCGTTCTGGCGAGTCGTCTCCTTCGGACAAACAGGTACACATGCTCCTTTAATAACCTCTTCCTTGTCGTTCGTGCATTTACAAGAGTTGTCGCTCTGACGCGTTGATCCAGTAGGGCATGTAGGAACACAAACACCTTTGACGAGTTCTTTTCCTTCGGCATCACATTTGCAAGACCCATCAGTTTGGCGTGTAGTATCCTTAGGACACTTGCTCACACAAGCACCCTTGATGATCTCCTTGTTCGCATCATTGCACTTGCAGCTACCATCAGATTGACGCGTAGAAAACTGAGGGCATTTGTCGACGCAGACACTTTTGACCAAGTCCTTGTCATCCTGACACTTGCAGCTACCGTTGTCCTGACGAGTCGAGTACTGGGGGCACTTATCCACACAAGACCCTTTGAAAACCTCCTTCTTGGGATCGTTACACTTGCATGAACCATCGCTCTGTCGCGTAGTACCCCCAGGACACTTATCAACACACTTCCCCAGAACAGACTCCTTACCAGACTTGCAGCTACACTGCCCTGAAGAAGCAGACCAACTAGTCCCATCGTCGTCACAGACACAAGACCAGCTGCCGTAGCTGCCAGGCTTGTACTTTGAATCATCAGGACACTTGTTGACGCACTTTCTGTTCTTTAGGGTCTGCGCATCAGGACAGTCGCAGGAGTACTGCTTATAGATTTGCCCTTCGTAGGGACATTGGCAGTACCCGGGCGTTGAGCCTTTGGGTGGGACCCAGGTGGCTTCACCGCAGTACTGGGTGTAAGTACGCCTGTTTATGGCGTTTGTGGTGCCATCGGGGGCAGCAGAGACGCTGGTGATGACGATGAAAGCGAGACTGAGAGCTTTGAACAACATCGTGAATGTACAAGGCGGGCCTTGAATGTTTCACAAATGGCCAAAGAAAGAAGAGTGGGATAAGACTGTGAGTGCTGGTGGTTTGAGTGAAGTTATCGGATTGACTTTTGTGTCTTTATAGAAATTGCGATAAGAGGTAAATTGGTATGATCACGGTGATACTCACTGGAGGCTTGACATCTCCGAGCTGAGTCGGAACGCCAAAAAGAATCTGGTGACAAGCTGCATGATGCTATTCCCTAAGAAGGATGAGTTGAGTTCCCATCCTTTGATTGTACTGTTCATTGCTATCCGAGTCTAGATCCATCGTCAATGAAGTAGCTGAAGGGGCCGACGGTCCGGAGGCGTCAGTGAATCGATAGCTCATCGAAGTGGCTGAGCTGAGATACTACAATGAATGGGGTCTGGATCGGGACTTCTTTGTTGTTCTTGAGCCAACTGCCTGCGATGGGCGAGATCCGAGAGTTTCGGATGCGTCCTTGAGCTTGGACTGACCATTGGCCGGGGCTCCGGTTGTCGCCGTTGGTGTTGACACAGATATGGGACCCCAGAACAAGCACAATCATCGATTTGTCCTATCTACGACTCATTGGGCCATATACCTCTCTCTCTGTGTTGTATAAACCAGCTCTTCTGAAGTGCGTGAATTGCAGCCCCGTCGCGTGTCCTTCTTACCGTTAATCTTACTCACAGAGTTAGTCCCTGGATGGTAGACTCCCAGCTAACTCAAATGATCTACCGACCTCGAACCTGTTGTCTCTGTTCCTTACCCTCCGGTGCCTTGCACTTACTCTCGATCCAGGTACAGAATACCGTCGTCGTGATTGATCAAATGGGAGATTATCACTCCATCTCCATCATATTAGGGCTAGACACAGCTGAAAAGCATTGACAAGCAAACATGGCATCTTCCCCTCATAAGACTAAAATTGAAAAAAGAACCTTTCTTGGCCAGGGCGTCGCGGTACCCGAGCGTTAAGATGGAGGCGTCAAGGGCGGAGAAGGATCAAAGAAGCGCCGCTATTCACGGCGACGCCACGACGCCACTTTGAACGGTTTTGGGATCTGGGGGCGCCACTTTGCATTGGCGGAAATCGGAGAATGGCATGGTGGAAATTTGATTATGCGGGGAAGTCTTTGATGCTGATTTTCCCTTTGTGAAATTCTCGTATTAATTTCCACTTCTTCGTAGGCGGCCATGGCAGTTGGTCGCAGCTGATGCAATAATGAGCTCAATCAGGCTGATCAGCAGTACAGTAGCCTGTCAGCTTGAGCGCTCAGACCTTGAAGGGAAGACTCCATACATTACCTGTAGAATGGATCTGTCCGACACGGCTTAGTGGCTGATCGTTCTTCCAACGGCCGCAAACCATCTGTGGGTAAGCTAGAGATGCAGTTTGCTGATAGTCTCAGCCCTATAAGCATTCATACCAATGTCCAATTTCCACATTCAGGCAACAATCCGATCTCTGGGTATCGATGATCTAGATCCGTGCATGCCAAGATCGAGAACGGGATCTGATAGAGGGGCCACAGTTGGTCCCCATTCAGATCGCGTAGTGAGCTTGAACTTGTAAGCTACCTTATCAGCGCATCCTAGTTATCTTATTTAGATTGTGTACAGGTGAGAAGCTGTTCATGATTTTACTTTGCTCTGAGATCTTAAATCACAACTCGGAGGTACCCAGTCAGCTTAGAGCCATGTTTCTTACCGGAAGGAGGCAATATGCAGGTTTTCCAGGAACCACGCCCTTCATATAGAAAGCCAATAGCTTTCTTCAATTTACCATCGACTTTGATCTCCAGAGCATAAAGCTTCGTCACGTCAAAAGCACAAATCTTATAACTACCCTATAAAGATTGCATACCTGAAAGCGGGAAGGAAAGTTCTAAAGCGCTATTGTATCTTATAATTATAATAAAAAAAAGAAAAAGTCTCAAGATAGGTAGATACTAAACCCGAGTCTGCTGTACATAATGCTTTTCATGGCACTGCTTCTGGAAATGTTTATAATATGTTCGGAACCACCATTCGGAAATAGATCTTAGCCTCCCGTTTCCGATATTACCCCGCGTCTTTTTAGTGCGGCATCCCCTAAAGTTTAACGGCTGACAGTCAGCCTTTCCGGCCAAGATCTTCAATCTTATCTCCCTAGCTTGAGTCTCAGGAGATAAGCATACTTTCGTCGGCATCAAGAGAGTATCTTGTCTTCAGAGGCTAATATCTCACCTAGGCTGAATAGCAATCAACTGATAAGGAGACTGATAGCAAAGAGATATGCTCTAGCCTGTGCTGATTCAATTACGAGACATAAATGCTATCGTGTACAAGATTGGAACTGCATAATCGCGCCTCCGGTGCTGCCGGGCTAGCTAGGTCCAAGTCGGTTAACAGATTCTATACTTTTTTCATTATTGGGAGATCACGCGGAGATAGTGAGGAACTTAATTCAGTTATGTCACTGTTTGCTCGAGTCGTGACCGCGGGTTTCTTCCGTCAGCAACTGCAGTAAGGTTGTTGCCATTACTTAATCTCCGCATCATATTGAAGCATGCTACTGTATCGTTCCTCATCTATATTTAGAGAGACAAGCCAAGAAGAACTCTGCAGTTTGTCACAATCGTATGTTCTGATCTCGATGGCGGATACAAAGGTTCTTGGATGGATCTAAGCTGCGGAGCAAAGCAATTGCATCCAGGTACCCTGCTTGATTCTTGATGATTTACTGGCTGTATCCACGAGGAGGCCCCTCGGTTAGAAAAGTGGCTTGCTTGAGGGTTCCTGTTATGATGTAACTGTATCTATGGAGAAATGCACAGAGGAAATTGTTTGATGAACCCTTCCACTCTCATCATGACTTGTTGTTCCATCTCCCCGGTCCTGGTCAGGGGTGACATGTGGGGTCAGACCTACAGAGAGCAAATTGGAGCTGACTTCAATACGGTGTAGCCAATGAGAGTAATTTGCCGTGCAGAGTCAAGGCCCCATAGTGAAGATCAATTGTGTGGGGTTCGGAAGACTCTCAGTAGCGAAGCTCGCTTCGGGAGGAGAATAAACCATTCAAGCTTAAGATAACAGCATAGAAGCTACGGCATATTAAGGGCTCTACCAGTATCAGCATGATAAGATCTGTATTACTAGCCAGGATCCAGCAAGAATGACCAATTAAAGCTGAAAAGTTGTAATTATCATCTCTGTCCGTCCATTCCGAGTAGTTCCGTGTTCCGATTCACCCACCAAAACCCGGATCATGTACACGCGGTACCGGTCCCACGTGGTATCGTTTATTCAACATGCACCTCTCCATCTCCTGAAACGCCGTTGTTTACCACAGTAAAACTCAAAATAATAGCCTAGCGATCCGGAAGATAAGACTCCCGATGCGTGAATCATGAGTGGCCCGAATATATCGGTTATCTTTGTCTGTATCTGGTCGACAGCTGCCCCGGGTTGTAACCTCCGCGAACCCGAAGGTACCTACAACCTTCGCTTAAGATGTGGCTTGCAGTATAGAGGAGGGGACTGAGATATGCACTGTAGCCTTGTCAGCATGAACCTTATCATCTATCATATAGAACGTGGGGATTAGTTTCTATAACCCTTGTCAATATTTTGGGAGCTGAGGTTGAAGTGAAGGGACTACACTTAGTCGTGATGATGTCAAGGGTCTTGGAAAGGGCTTTTGTGAGGGACCTTGTAGTCGGATCATGTGTTATCTCCACGATAAACAGCGTGGGGATATTCTCACCGACATGGTATAGGCATATCACACGAGTCAAGATATATCTCTATGGATCTGTATATCTCTATATATATCGCCATGTTTGTCCTCAATGTGAAGAGAATCAACCCATCCGAGTCCGTCTACTCGCACTCAGACATCCAGCTGACAAGATGCGTTTCTCAAACTTCTTTGTCTCAGCCTCTCTGGGGAACTTAGCTCTCGGCGCAGCTTTTTCTACTGGAAGGCTCGAGAGTCGAAAGAAATGCCCTGGAACTGATTGTTCGCTGAACCAAACCACCGCGAATGCTCCTCACAAGAACTTCTGGGGTAGTCTGACTACCCAGGAAACTAAGGATGTGCTTGCTCTTCTGCATAGCAATGCAACAGGCTTCAACCTGACTGCTGCAGAGGATGCAGGGAGGTATGTTTTTAAACCTTGTGTTTCCATGAAAGATTCTAACAGTCCATAACAGCCGAAACAACAAGATGTAAGACTTGCAAGCCATAAACCGACATCACGAACTAATCACAGTTGCAGTATTTCGGTTGAGCTCATGATGCCAAACAAGACAGACGTCCTCCCCTTGCTCTCAAGCAGCACCGGTAGCCCAGAGCGTTACGCCCTGGCTGCAATTATGTTTGGTGCTGTTGAAAGTGCCTACGTTCAAGAGTTCAAGGTTGGCCCATTGCCTATCACCAACGCCTCGTATGTTATGCCATACACCTTCACAAACACACGAGCGGGTGATGGTAAGATCCCAGTTGTCAACCCTGATGCCGAGGACTATGCCAACTTCAATCTTGAGATCATGAAGGGTGCAGAGGACGTCACGAAGCGGCTCTGGAATTTGGTAAGTTATGGTCTCGAACAAGTTATATCCGTTTGTCTGACAGAGCAAAGACCGTCGAGGATGGACTTCAGATCCCACTTGCCTTCGCAGCCCCTCTCACAGTTACAGAAGACAAGGTCATCATGTGGCAGGGCTTCAATGCGCCCGTCACAAGCATCTACGACACAATTTCTCTTCTTCCTTTAGGTTTGTACATGAGAACAGACATCACAGGCCGTGATCCCAGCAAGTGGAACGTGACAGGCTGGGTGTACAACAATGAGTTTTACAAGAGTCTGGATGACTTCCGCAAGGTCATTGCCGAGCCTGACTTCAAGCCCCTGGGAGCCAATCTCGATCAGCCTTGGGCGCATACTAACAAGCATGGTGATCCTCTCCCTCTGGATGATAGCCCTCCACCGGCGTCTGTTCAGTCTGGCAAGGAGAGGTTTGCTGTTGATGCGGAGGAGAGCTATGTTACTTGGAGTGAGCTCATACCCGGAGATCATCTTGGTAACTTGCTAATGGACTGTGTTAGTGGACTTCTCTTTCTACGTTAGTATCACACGTGACAACGGGCTGCGACTTTACGACATTCGATACAAGGGCAAGAGAATCATGTATGAAGTATGTATACTCATCTCGAGCTTTACGCGGCTTTGGCTAATTCTGTTTAGCTTGGTCTTGACGAGGCCATCGCCCATTATGCGTGAGTCATTCAACAAGCTCTCGCACAAGTCTATTACTAACGTCATTCACAGTGGCATCGATCCAGTTCAGTCTGGAACCTGGTAAGTGATATACAATCTATACAACTCTTGTAGTTCTAACGTGCATCTCTTAGCTACTTCGACAGCCTGAATGGCTTTGGTCCCACTATGATCTCTCTCGTTAAGGGTAAGGCTGAACTCGACCGAGGAACTTTCCATCACTAACAAAACCAGGTTACGACTGCCCTGCATACTCTCACTACCTCAACGTCACGCAGACCACGGGCGAGACTACGTATACCCAGAAAGACGGGCTCTGTAAGTAGAAAACACCTACCGTCGTACACCAAATCTAACAGACCAAGGCATGTTCGAGATCGACAAGGGCTTCCCTATCCAACGCCACTCCTGGGCAGGCCACACCACCGTAACAAAGAACATCGCCTTCAACATCCGTGCCATCTACACCATCGGAAACTACGACTACATGACGACCTACCAATTCCACCTCGATGGTTCCATTGAGATCGACGTCCGAGCATCGGGCTATATCTCATCTGCATTCTACGCCGAGAACGAAGACTACGGCTTCAAAATCCACGATAGTCTTTCTGGATCTCTTCATGATCATGTCATCACCTTCAAGGCTGATTTTGATATTCTGGGCGAGAAGAATTCGTTGCAGAAGGTTGCTATTGAGCCTACGGTTGAGAAGTAAGTTTATTCATGTTTGAGTGAAGGACGGGCTGCTGACTATTGGGATAGGTATAAGTGGTCGGATGGTGAGACGCGTAACACTATGAAGGCAGTCAAGAGCTTCATCAAGACTGAAGATGATGGGAAGATCAACTGGTCGCCTAATGGCGGGGCTATGTATGCCGTTGTCAACAAGGACGAGAAGAATCCTTACGGTGAAAACCCAGGATACAGGATCGTACCAGGTAAGTATCTCTGAGCATTCTCATACAGCCTTCCAGCTCACATTCATAGCATCTGGCGTTGCCTACCTCACCGTCAAAGACTCCAGCATCACCGGGAACGCAGCCCACCACACAACACATCATCTCTACGTCACCCGCCAGAAAGACAACGAGACATACGCCGCAGGAGCATACAACTCCCTCACACCCGAAGACCCGCAGGTTGACTTTGACAAGTACTTCAACGGCGAGTCCCTCGACCAAGAGGACATGTAAGTCACTATCATCCCTCGCATCATGATTTGAAGCTAATGAGGACAGTGTCGTTTGGTTCAACCTCGGAATGCACCATATGCCTCACACAGGCGATCTCCCCAACACGGTCTTCTCGACGGCTCACTCGTCCATGTTGATTGAGCCTATGAACTATCTCCTTGGTGATCCGTCGCAGGCTAGTTCGCAGCAGGTTCTTATCAAGACTACGGACAGCAAGCCTGAGATTACGAGATATGGGGCTAAAGAAGCGACGTGCCCTGTTGATATGGTATGTTGTTTGTTTTCTTTTCTTCTGGTGCACTGCTAATTTGTTTGGGTTTAGGCGCAGCTTAACCCCGATCTGTCGAGCTACTCCAACAGTGTCAGTGTCCTGAAGTATCCCTTCGATGGCTCAAAGCCGGATCGTGCTTAGGTCGATCATGCAGCGTTGGACATGGAAGATTTAGAGTCTTGAAGGGAATTTAGTCTACTGCAGCTGGGAATGAAGCTTTAGTGCTACCAGTAGTTTCGCGCGGTGGACGGAAGCCATACTACATGTAGCGCATAACCTGTTGTAAAATGACTCAATTCAAGGCACACTGTACGATGAAACTAGGGATATGCTTGCCTCTTACTATAAGTCTCTTATCTCTCTTTAGTTGCTCAATTGAAGCTAGTTCAATGCCAAGATGCAACCTTATCAAAAGGATACTCAATGAGGCCAAGATCTACACTGTCAATGTTGCATCGCTCGACCTTATGTAATAGAAATGAAGGTAGTATTGATCCGACATACCCGCGATGGAAAATACCTATCAGCATCCTAGTTTCACGGCATTTATTTGACCGACGATCTATCTGTCCTATAAGAACTGAAGTTCCATTAGGCAACTTCACACGTTCTTGTCAGTCGCTTTGCGGTATTTATAATTCTTTATTACTTGCCATGTGGTTTGTTGCGTTACTGAGCCTCGCCCTCCCGGCGGTGGCAGAGCTTCTCCGTCCCAGTGGTATATCCGTGAGCCTAAACGGAACGAACTATTTCTTATCGCCATCGCTGCAACAAACGTTACCGAAAAGCCTCATCCCAGCCACCATCGCCTCGGATTCTTTGGTATTTGTGCCGGTTACTATTGTTGGCAATAAAATTGCTCAAAAGGATCTGTCCAAAGTCTTCTCAAGCTGGGCGTACAAGGACGACGTGTGGCAACCTGCCTTTGCTGAACTGGTGGTGCTATTGAAGTCGCCTGGTTGTAAATCAACAACGACTACCTTCAATAATGGCATCAAGTCAGCTGTTTCTTGCTGGCACAAAGCTCCCGAAATTCCCTCAGGACCCTACTTCTTGGACCCATACAGAGGAAGCCTCCATCAAGTGTATAGGCTTTACGATGACTTCTCCGGCAGCTTTCTGGAATCACTTATCCAATCTCCAGACGGGACTTTTCAGACTCTCTCAGCGCATGCTCCAGGTAGCAGTTCCCTCTCCATTGGAGTTCCATCGCGCTTGTACTTTACTCGCACCAAGGAAAAACCGCTAGCAGGTATTAGAGTAGGAGTCAAAGACCTTTACGACCTCAAAGGTGTAAAAAGCTCTCGCGGCAATCGTGCTTGGTATAACCTGTATCCCGCGGCGAACAAGACGGCACCAGCTATCCAGAACCTAATCGACGCCGGAGCCGTCGTTGTCGGGACACAGAAGCTCTCTCAGTTTGCGAATGGTGAGAATCCAACAGCAGATTGGGTCTCGTACCTTGCGCCGTTCAATCCACGCGGAGATGGTTACCAAGGCCCCTCGTCATCCTCGTCGGGAGCGGGGGCGTCTATAGCGACTTATCCGTGGCTAGACCTTGCTGTTGGTAGTGACACTGGAGGCTCTATCCGTGGCCCCGCTGGAGTTTCAGGTGTTTTCGGCAATAGACCTACTCATGGTCTTGTCAGTTTGGACAACGTGATGCCGCTTTCGCCCAAGATGGACACAGCGGGTTTCCTGACTCGCGATCCAGAGATCTGGGCAGCTGCACAGGCCGCTATGTATAAGAAGAACTACACGACTTTCTCAAAGGAGAAAGTCAAGTACCCACGGGCAATCTACACGGCAGGATTTCCAACCAACGATACACAGGAGGGCGCAATACTACACCAATTTGCCAACGATCTCGCTGACTTTCTTGCCACCAATGTTACTGAGTATAATATCAGCCAGCACTGGGCTTCAGCGGGGCCGAAGTCCATTCAAAACATTCCCTTGACGGAATTACTGAACGTAACCTACGCTGCTCTCATCACCAAGCAACAGATTGCTTTAGTCAAGGAGCCGTTCTTTGAAGATTACGCTGGTATGTGCAGATATATACAAGACAACTAGATTTTATGACTAACTCGAGAATCTTGCAGCCGCTCATGATGGCCGCACGCCCTACGTAGATCCAGCACCCAGCGCACGATGGGCATGGGGTGAAAGCCAGCCCGACGCCATCCTCAACGACGCCATTCGTAACAAAACCATCTTCATGGACTGGTTCAACCACAATGTTCTTCCAAAAGACAAAGACTCACAAAGATGCTCCTCTAGCATCTTGCTGTACACCCAGGGCCCAGGGATCTTCAGCCGTCGCGATGTCTATCTGGATCCTCCGAGTGTTCCTTTCGGATGGTCCTTGAGCAGGATTTCCATCTTTAGCGAAGCACCGGATAGTGTCTATCCGATTGGGGAGGTGTCGCAGTTCAGCGATATCACCGGTCGCAATGAGAGCTTGCCTGTCAGTGTTAATATCATGGTGGCGAGAGGGTGCGATGGGCTTGTGCCGAGGCTGGCTCAGGATCTTGTGGGGGTTGGGTTATTGAAGATTCCAAAGACTGGCGGGAGTATGTTGGGAGGAGAGGTTTTGTTTTAGTTATAAGCCTATTAAAGGACAACGGATAGATAATGAAGGTACTTGTTTTCATGCCAATCTTAGGCATGTCTTCTTCATTAAGCTTAAATTATATTAAGTTCCGTCTGCTGATTTATAAAGGCTCTCAGCCACAAGTCTCATCTGCAAATTACACTAATCTTGATCTTTGACTCCACCTCCACAGTCAACATGCTTAACGGTGTCCGGTAGCATTCCATCTCAGAGACAAATACATAGTGCTCTCGATTCGTTCCATTCCAGCCAAAACTAGATAACTAAAACCTAGTCGTCACTGCACACATCGCTCTATAGTAATCCCATGTCAGGAAGCTTCTCGCCGTAAATTAACGTTCTGGGGGTTAACTCACTCCTACTCTGTTGGGGCACGTATGTGACCTCCATGTATCATAGACCCCATCACTCTCAATACATCCCCAATCACAATTGCAGCCAGATGGATTGCATAATGTTCCACTGATGTCGTAATTGCTGACGTTCATGCAGCCCGCGGCGCGTGCATCTCTTCGCGCATCGGTTCGGTTGTGACAGCTGCCGATTTCTTCGCGGATCTGCAAGTAACGAGCAGACACTGAGACTGCACAGCAGATCACGGCGATAACCGTTAATTTCATTGTGATAAATATGGTGGAGGGAATTGGGAAAAGCTTATATGTCAAAGATGAGAAATGGCGTCCTTGGCAGGACGGCCATCTCTTCAAATAAGCTGGGCATGGACAGAACTTAAGGTGAGGGACTCCAAGACATGTATAACCCCCAATGCAGCTTTTACTGGCAATATGTCGCGTCATAATTGCGATCGCATTCCTGACAGAGGGTGGAGATTTATCAAGGGAGGATGGACATTCTCAAAGCTCGATATGGTATTACGGTATATACTACCCATATTAACTGTTGCAATTTCATTCGAGGAAAATAAATAAAAGGATATTTAATCTGAACTGTGATAGAAAAAAAAAACAGATGCAAAAAGAATAGTCAGCTGTGTCAATCGACCACGCCAGGAGTCGAACCTGGAATCTCTAGAGGGATCAGTTGCTGAGGACCGAAATCTAGCGCCTTAGCCATTAGGCCACGCGGCCTGATCTTATTGGATGGCAAGCTTCATTGGTAATAGATATTATGGACATAGCAGCTAGTTAGCGCTCTTTTAGGCATAAGACCTGAGGTGTAGTTAGTTTGTCTTGTGTTTGTGGACTCGAGCCATACTGAAGTGTTCTGGTAAGCGGGAATAGCAGACTTACGCGTCGTTGTTCCAGATAGAGTGTAACCTCCCAGGATATATAAAGTTTAGGAGCCACAACGCCTCACCGTCTTCCATAGAACATAAGATTTAAACTTTAGCCAAGGCTCTTGCTATACACAACTAACAGTTCACAATGGGGCTGTGGAGTATCTCGTAATCAACCATCTCTGTTCAGAATACTAGAAGTGTTTATCATAACTATCTCAAGAAGTATAAGCGAGATGCCCATATCCACCACCGGCCCGTCAAAAGACACTAGGTCAATACGAAAGAAACAGTTGTACCCCATAAAAGGACATATATAAGTCTGAGCTGAATGCATATCCTGCTTTGGACCTTTAAAATTCAGTCTGTACAACGTCCTACCCGATATTTTCTTTCCATATTGCTCAACATATATACACAATGCAGATCAATTTGGCCGCTCTTCTTCTCTTTCTCGCTGCTGGTTTCCATGCAGTAGAAGCCAACAAATGCCTCTACGACCCTCCTCGCAAATGTTCTGAGGGTTGCCCCAATGGAGATTGTACTGTGCCAAATTCACGCAACGACGTATGCTACTACGACTGTTAGAGGATCATTGTAGGTATGTGATTCCCCTTTTTACCCCCTTGCACTAAGTTTAATTTTTTGAGTAGACCTCTCAAGGCCCGAGTTATGACACTCGTTCCCAACCATGAATCATCTACGGACCGGCAGGGACGTCACTCTGAAAGATATCGTTACCGCATAACCCGATCGGACATACCCCGATATATCTTTCGCTAGTGGCAGGACTCTGTGCTGGGATAATGATTTGAACGAGAGGCTCCCTATTACAGCTTGATTCGATTGTACAGCGAAGTCTAGTGTTACAATTCTTGTTCCATGAACGCATCACTTTACATAAAAGACCACCTAGGTAGAAGCAACAGCAATGGCATCATACATATCTGAGATATCAATTTACTTCCAATACATCTATCCTACATCCGTCCACCACAAGGAGGGACTATCTCATTGAGACGTCTGTCTCCAGGTCGTCCGCAATTCAGACGACCTCGGAGGTCTCCTGCTCACCCTTCTTGTCATCAAGAGGCTTGTCAAGACCAAGTCGCTGGCGAGTAGTGTAAGTGGCAATAGAGCCATTAGCATCAGCCTCAGTGATGAGCTCCTTGCGGCGAGTATCAACCAGAAGGCGGATCAGGTCGGGGCGCATGTAGTGACCAGCAAAGTCAGCAAGGACCTTGGTGAGGTGAGTCTCGTTGAGATCAATGTCAACAAAGAGAAGACCATCAAAGTCCTTCTCAGGCTTGACGACCAAGCTACCATCAGGGCGGTAGATACGAGCATGGCCGTTGTAAACAGAAGGATCAGTCTCTGGCTCAACACCCTCGGGAGTGTTGATCTTCAGTCCCTCAACAGATAATCGTTGGAAAGGCGCAAGAGTCCAAGTACCTGTCTCAATGGCATACTCAGGCGTAACCAAATCAGAAGCGGGATCGGCATAGTTGGTAGCAGGATCAGGAGCAACCTGGCGTTCCTTTCCGGGATAGACAGGCCAAGCAGCGATGTGAACCTGCTCACCAGCAGAGACGTTGAGAGACTTGAGGAAGGGGTTCATGTTCTCCCAGCAGTTAAGCTGTCCAACACGGCCGATGTCAGTCTCGCTGACGGACATGAAGGTGTCCCCGGAGCCGTCGCCGTAGACGAGCTTCTCAACGTGGGTTGGCTTGATCTTGCGACGGTGGTTGATGACTGAACCATCAGGACCGATGAGGACTTGGGCGAGGTAGAGAGTTGCGTGGTCGATCTCGGAGAAGCCGAGGGAGACGTAGATTTGGTTGTCGCGGGCTGCGCGACGGATGCGGCGCATTTCCTCAGAGTCGACGGCCATGGAATTCTCGCGGTAGCGCTTGAGCATGGGGAGGGATTGGAGGTAGGTGACCTTCCACATCCAGTAGGGATATCCAGGGATCCCTGGAAGTGTTAGCAATGAGGCTGAGGGGAGGAGTGATATGGGACTTACAAACTTCGGGGAAGGCAACGAGCTTGCATCCAGCTTGACCAGCCTCGTTGATGAAGTCGATGGTCTTGCGGACACCGCCCTCAAGATCGAACCACTAGATACTGTAAGTGATGTTCAAGGTGTAAGTTAAACTGTTGGAACTTACTCCAGGCTCGGAGGTGACAGCAGCAGCCTTGTACTTGGTGATAGCCATGGATGAAGATTTTAAGATGGTAGTTGTTGAGATTGGTGTTTGTGATGAAGTTCTGAGATGATGAGTGAGACCAAACTTGAGCGCGACAGCATCATATTTATACCACAATCAACATCAGTACAAATATACAAAGCACTGACTATCATCTCATCCAGCGTTACAGTCCGAGTCACCGAGGTCTCCCGCATCTGCACGAGCTTCATGATATCTGCACCATGATGTATATCGTTTCACATACAACATCCATGCATATCAAAGCTCTCAACCAATAAAAACAGAGCACCAAGATCTACCGCCCATGGAGAATTGCCGGAGAGGCTTTACCGAAAATGTCCGTGGCGGCGTAATCGTCTGATAGTCCACCGTTTTAGAGGACAGATGCCGCTGCGGCGTGGTGCGGCCCGCAGATTGATAAGGCGTGCGGCGATGCGGCGGTCGCCGTGTAGTTAATTCTAGGGGAGCGCGGCGAAGAATGGATATCGTGAAAGCTTGTGGTTTCATGGCTGCATTGATTTACACAATCGCAACGTTGTTCCGCTGATCCCGAGGAGATTGCTGCTCCGATAATGCCCGTATATTATCGGGGCGGATGATTGTTGGGATTCGGAATGTGTACGAGGAAAATGAACTGCATGCGTTCCATTGTACTGTGAAATAACCTATTGTGAAACGTTGAGCTGACCATGATGTTAAAAACCCCCCCAGAATTAATATCAATAACCAAGAAATTCTTTACCTAATATATAGCATTTAAAAAAACAAAAACAAAAAACAGCAAAACAGATTAACTACATGATAAGAACCTCGTTCCCTCGAAAACTAACATGAATCTTCGCACAACAGCTCCAACAAACAGACTCTGGAAGGACCAAGACACCATAGCCTCTCCCAATTGCGAAGGACGTTAGTGCAAGTCGAGCAAGCCAGTTTCGGTGAGCCCGTGCAACAACTGCGTTCCTGGGTCGGTCAAGGAACTCTTCCCAATTGTCAATTGACGTCAACCTGCAATTAAGGACTGCAGAGGTGTCAGTCGATTTGCCTGTACACGCGGGACTACAGCGGACCCTATTCAGACTCATGCTGGCCAAAGAACTAAGGATGTCCAGATCTGCAACCCATTTTCCAGAGTCGTAGATCGATGCGACCGTCTCGATAAAATAGGTCTCCACGTCCTGCCGGCCATGAACCTGATGCGCAAGTGTGATTGGCATACGGTAGTTTGTGAAGGACAAGTGGCATGACGTGCCCTCGAAGCAGTTCTCGACTCGTTCGTCAAAGCTATCGTGATTGATAACCTGCCATGAACTATCATTCATAGCTCTGACTCTTGGCTTTGCAGGAGGAACCAAAAAACCTGTGCCTGCTTGGCCAATATTTCCAGCGATGTGTCTGACTTGGTGTTCAATGCCGACTTTGGAGGGATCCTCGAGCAGTTGAAGAGCCAGATACACGGAATTGCCTGAAGAAACAGCCATCACGCTGTGGAGGTGATCAGGATGTACGTCAATATTACCGCTGTCAAAGAAGGCGATGCAGGCAAAAGTTTCGCTCCGTTTCAATGACATTTGAAAAGCAGGAACACTCACCGTCATGCCCCGCAGATTATGGCGCTTTTCCTCCTGCTGGAACTGCTCCCATGCAAGAGCTTGCGAGGTACTGTAGGATCTATACCATTGTGAGTTCTTCAGTGGCTGTGATGCCACCTTGGGATCTATTGTGGCGCCTGGCATAGCCTCGAAGGTCTCATACGCAATTGAGAGGGCGTCGAGGGAGGTGAAGTAGTCTTCGTAAGCTTTAGCACCAGCTCTGAGGATTGCTTGGAGAGTTTCGGGGCAGACTGAATTGTTTTTTAGCGCAGAGATCCACGAGGAGATAAGTGTGGGCGAGGAAGCGGCCGTTTTCGTGGTGTCTCCTTTATCCACTTTCGAGTTGATGAAGATGGCAGCATCACCAGGGTTGCCCCATAAGACGTGGTAAGTTTGTCCTCTGGTGGAATGCTTCGATTTGCCAGATAGAACTTGCGGCGATCCATGCCAAATCAGTGTTTCGCCATGATATCCAGGATCCCTGTAGATGACTCTCTGTTCTTCTAAGGTAATCCACTCTCCCGTAATTGACAGATCAGATTCTCGCTTTTCTGTCAAGGCTGGTTCACGACGATGATTCTTCAACGTTGACATGCATGAGTGCCTCTCACAGTTGCAGCTTGAGAGTTTGTGTTCTTCGCAAGTGCACTTTCCGTACATAGAACACATGGGCTTTTCTGAGATGATAGCAATCCACCGCTTGTGGCATTTCGTTGGTACCTCAGCACCGGTCGTGCCTCGTTTGCAACCGGGAGACGCGGCTTGTATCGCCGTTGCGTACTCGAAGTGCAAATAAGTGCTTTCTGATTTGGGTCTTTTCCGCCTCTGACCTTTGGTCGAAGAGTTCTCGGTGTCGAAGATGCCACCCTCTGGGATTGCGTATTCCTCGCCCAAAGGCGCCATGTCATCGTCTGGAAGTGCGTATTCAGACCGTTTCGCACCATCCGCTGGTTCTGTCGAGTTCGACCTTCTGTACCTTATTTCCGATAGCACAGAAGGCTTTGTGACAGTGTACTGGATTACCGTGTCTTCTTGATGCGAGACGTGTTCGCTTGCCCAATGCCGGAGATACGAGATTTTCGTCTCAGTGCCCCGTAAGGAGCCGATGAATGTCCGCGAGCATAGAAGACCAAGGAAATCTGTTTGAAGGCTTGCATTGTAGCTCAGAAACTGTTCCGCTCGGCGTCGGCCAAAGTGGAGGAGTCGAAATGCTCGCTCTTTGTCCACGCCTCGGGCATCAAGGAATGCCCGTGCTGCATCGCGCAGCATCTTGAGCCATTGCCACGGTCGAACTTGGAGTGGATCAGCAGTGACCAAACCTCCCGAGGGAGCGCTTTCGAGGCTGAACCCTTCGACATTGCGACCAAGAAACGCCCAGAGCTCGACGAGACACTCGGCTGCTTGAGCAACGTTGGCGCTTCGTGGGTCCCATTGAGAGAGCAAACTCCCGAGGCCTACAAAAGCCAAATCGCGACTTGTCAGTCGAGGTGTGTCCGGATCCAAGGTTTGTGTTGACGTGACGGGATCCCCGTAAAAGTTGAGAGATGCTAGGGGCAAGGACCACGAGATGCCACAGTGTTCTTCGTCGGAGTGAGTCTCAGAAATTCCCACTGTGAGAATACCGCCTGAAGCGATCAGAGAATCCCTTTGCTTAACCTGAGTGGTGGTATTTCCCAACACCACAAGATCCGGGAAAAGATGCCAAGCAGACAAGCCCAGAAGGATGGCTCCATCACGTACCTCCTGTGGCTGGCCGCGGATGAGGTTCTCAACTAGTGTCATGGCGCTCTTCCATGCCTGCATGACACTCTTGTAGGTATCAGTGATGCTGTTGACCGCGATGGCAACATTCTTGAGTATGAGTAGCAGCTGTGTTTGCTTTGTCTTGATACCCGTGGCCTGATCCGCACATTGAAGCCAGGACCGCGCGCTGGCATCCCACTGGGCCAGTTGCTCCCTTGAGACGTGTTGTCTTGCGGCTGCGTCCAATGCCAGCTTTTCTAGACCACTGAGGCTTTCATCAGCTTGGATCTGGCGTTTTCGCTCTCCGACTATGTCAACCCAGACAGAAATAGCCTGGTCCGGTTCCCAAATCCGGGCAAGCATGCAAGCCAGGAGGTGCATGGCAACAGCTGAATGACCCGAAGTCGCTGCAGCCCATATCGAAGTGCAGTCTGCGCCGACCTGTTCGAAAAAGAGCCCGTGGTCCTCTTTGGAGCCGAGGGGATTGACTTCTCGGCTTGAAACAATCTCGGAAGATCTAGTGCCATAAGCCTTAAAAAGCTCGGGGGTTCGGTCTAGTAACGGTTCGAATAAGGCGGCCAACTTCCTTGCCGTGCTATGCGAGGTGCCTTCTTCAGCTTCTCGTCGCCTTCCGCGAGACAAAACTTGGCCCAGAGCTTGGAACTCTTGAGGTGCTTCTACTTTCACCAAAGAAAAGTCGAAGTTGAGGTTTGCGGCGGCGACAGTAATCTCGCTCACAGCGGAGACGGCTGAAGTCGTAAATTTTCCGATTGAAGTCATTGAAATTATGGCCAAGATGTGTTCTGCATTCTGGGGGGGATTGTTGAAACGATTAGTTGGCCATGGTGAGCGACCTTCGTTGTTTGGAAGGTTCTTTTGTAGTGAGAGAGGGCGCGCAAACTTGGGCTAAACACACAGCCACCGCGCCAAGGAAGGCGGTGCTATGCACTGTGATCGCAGGCCTCAAAAAGGACTGAGACATGCATGAGCAGTCTCTTTTGTCGAGCAGCTGATTAGACGTCAGTTCAGCTTCGCAGTTGTGGCATTCACCATGACCATTAATAAAGCCAGGTGCACATCGGCCAGACCCCTGCACGGCTACTATTGCGCAGCCCACTTTGTTAAGTCCGCTTCGGTCTTATTGTTGGCGGAATATCATTTCAAGCCCCGCTGTCAACATGCGTTCAACCTCTTTATTTAATACGTTGACTGGATGAGGCCAAAGGGTTTGTTAACAAAACGAACCCAATGGCTCCCGGAGTTCTAGAGGGAAAACATCGAGACAAAGGCGGGTTTCGAGTACTTAAACAAGGCGAGTGTCTGCCTCCTACGCAATTGAGAGGTTGCGGCAAGGCTGTTTTGCCTCTCGCACAATAAATCAGGCTCTGCAGTACACGTCCGCGCAGTTCGCCCGCGCGGGTGGCGTGGGAACTACACAGCAGTTTACAGACACTCCCTTGACCTGACAGGGAAGCGATAATTAAGCTGATCAGTAGTATTTCGAAGATTCCTGGGGGAAAGGCTATTGTGATGCACGTGTTAATACCTCAGCAATAACCTCACAAGCAAATGCCGGGCATCAGCACTGAAGCAACGGCGAGAACATGAGATCTATGGTTGGACTTTAGAAGGGCCATGCCGTTAAGCATTTCTCCTACACAAATGCGTAGGCCCTCTGCACATTTGTGGAAGCTGAAGACCCCCTGCAGATCCCTATCATCCTCATTCGCTGAGTTTACCCCATGGCGGACCAACCAGCAGCTCTGTAGGCCGCCACTTACAGTCTTGGTTTCATTCAAACTTCTGGGCGTCTGCGTTGGTTCGCAATGGCGCAGTTCAGTCAAGTCCAGTATGGCTGTGCTGTTTATCGACTTTGCTCACTTGTGCGAAGTACGATTCCACGGTCGTAAACAGTAATGTGGCTAGCCACGATTGTGGGGATGCGATGGACGCAGTCGTGGAAGATGAACCGTCAAGCATATTATATATCTCGCTTTCAAGGTCCCGTAATCCATGAATTTACACAACTAGGTATCTACGATCTATCTGCACCGCTACCTACATCACTATGTCCATTTCAATTGACACTTCAAAGAGGTTGGTTCATTGTCCGCAATTCAGAGACTGTATGATGAAGTTGCAGCTTCTCAAACCAGTTGCACACGAGTCAGCCATACAATGAGCGTATGCAAGATTGGCTTTTGGACCCAGGTCTTGACCTTCAGGGCAGACTGCCGACGGGCTGCAGCACAGCACAGCCACAAAGTCCTACACCATCCAAACGGAAGCCAACCAAGTCAAAACTCAACGCACATATTTAGGTATATTGTGATTTGCATGCAAAACTATTATTATAATCTCCGTTTTGCATTGTATTTTGTTCTAGTAGATCATAACCCTAACCCTTAATTATCGGTGCTAAGTAATAAAAAGTCGGGCTTATGTTGTTATATTTTCATTGTTGGAAATGTTGGGCTCTACGCCGTAGCCGTAACTGCCTGACTTATCTTTTTAGCCAAATCTTGTAGGACTAAATTCTGTTAAGTAGTACCTAAGAAGGTCAATAAAGTTACTGAGGTCTTGGTAGCTCTTATCATTCGTCTGCCTACAAATTTTACGCCCCCTAAAGAGCCAGGGCTCAGCTATCAGCACATTGCGTCTTATCTGATGCTGTACAATCTCTCTCATTCCGAACTTACGGGCTCTCAAGTGCATTGTGGCGATCTCCATCGGGTCTCTTCAGTGGACAGCATGCTTTCCCTGCGGCTTCAAGCGTTCTCAAATATGTCGAACCTGGACATGTTTTTTGATACGCAAACAAATTCTTCTCCGTTCCCATCTACCGAATGTCAGGTGCAATCGTTTGATGGGTTGATGAAACAAGAATCCCCTCCTTCAGATGGGAAGAATGCATCAAATCCTTCGAAGAGGCCTGCTGGGGATAGCAGAGCACCTCAGCAGAAGAGTCGCGCTACTAGAACTTCGGAAAAGATCGCTGAAGCCGATGGGGACTGTGGTCATGATGAAGAAATCAACGACGTCAACAAATGTGCCGAATCATTTGCGTGTCCCTTTTACAGAAGACATCCAGAACGTTATTTTGACTGTATCAGCCTCAAAATGCCTCGCATATCAGACGTCAAGCAGCACCTAAAGAGGCGCCATATGGCAAATTAATTTTGTCCGAGATGTCCCAAGGGATTCTCAGCGCTAAAACCCTTCCAGAACATGTTCTGCAGCAGAATTGCTCAATGGACCTCTCAGAAGACACTGATGGCGTCTGACCCACTACGCAAGACGCCCTCAAGGTCCGTTTTGAGAGGGGTTTGTCACCGAGAGGTGTCAATGGCACAAGATATGGAAGATCTTGTTCGGAGATTTTGATGATGACCAGAATCCGTACCATGAAGGCGTTTTCAAAGAGATTACAGGAATAGTAAGGGGTATTTGGACAGAAGAGGGACAGAATGTCATTTCCGATGTGCAGAAACTAGGGATATACCGGAGGATTGCGCTGATTAGCTACGCTCGGTGGTATTGGAACTCCTGGCTCGAGTAGAGACTCGATTCAAACAAAAGGCTTTGGAAGGGAACTCAAAGGAGCGGTCTAACAATGTCGAAAGCATCTTGGACAAACCCGCAGATACAAAATTAGGGCCTATTCACGATCCGTCTCCAGACATTCAGACCAATATTGCTCCTCATGATACTACATTGTCTTGTTCTACTTCAGCAATAGCATGCGCTTTTTATGAAGGCTTCGGGTCAGTCAAGAGAATGTGCGGCCTTTCTATGCCCTCTAGACCACAGAATCAACAGGTTGAAATACCGTATCCTGATTTCACTACAAGAGAATTGCGCATTTCAAACGATGGAGACAATTGGCTAAACATCGAGCCACACAATGATATTTTGAAGGAAATTTTTGAGCCGGTCTATCTCGAAGGTATGGGAGAGGGAGATTGGACGAACGTCGTGGACCTTACGCAAGACGATGAGATACTGGGAATGGAGAACTAGTCGGTCACGTTTCTTCTTAAGTCGGCTCCCTACTCGTCCTCATATATTCGGCCTTTCATACTGCCATATGGCTAGGACTGGGTCAGTTCAATCATTACGACCAGAAGGGCTACCCTATCGGGGACCAGGGCGGAGTTTCTGCAATTAACCAAGATATAGACTTCTGACCAAACCGATCTTACCCTGAGCGAACACAGGTTTCTTTCGAACGAAATGATGGAAACGGTTGGTGTCAGAATGTATGTGGAGGTCAATATTCTGGGCGTTATACAAATCTCAAGAGGAAGAGTCGGATTTGGAGTATATGGAACTCCGAAACACACATATATGGTTATGAGACTTTTGAAAGAGAAGGTTTCTGCAAACAGATGAACCTTCGATTATATCTGTATCTTAACAATTCGAAGTGCTCATGAGGCAGCATAGCAGCTTATTTCCAACAATTATACTTCCTGTCTGACTTACTTACTATTAATCTGAATGCTTATCTATTTCATAAGAGACAATTAAGTTAATTGTATTAAAATAAAAGGATCTTTATGCCATAGTAAGGATGTTGATACTTTTTTACCATATCTTGACACGACAGCTAGATATCAACAGTCATAATTCATGATAGACAAAAGAAGGGTTTCAAGTATTCAATTAATCTATATCAAAACAAAAAACAAGTGTCCACGTCTACTCAAACAGGATCCGATCCGAACACCACCTGACTATCCAACTGCTGCAACTACTCCGTCAAGTCACCGGGAGTAGGCTCCGTGCTACTCCCCTGCAAAACACTCTTATCAGCACTCTTCCCCTCCGCCGTCTTAACGACCTCCAACAATTCAACAATCCTCGGTGACCAACCCCCATTAACCTTGCCCTCCAGAATCTGCGCGGACGAAACCTCCGCTCCATAAAACTCCGTATTGACATCTCTCTTCTCCTTTATCACCGTCCCATCCACAGTCAAACCACCATAAATACCACGAGACTTCGTGTATGTCCACACTGGCTTGACGTCCCCCATGTTTACGTTTCCACCAAGAGGTCCAGCTGCGAGAGCGACGGCACCTCCAAGATTGACTTCAGATTTCTTGTAAGCGTCGACTGCCTCTTGGGTGTTGAGGACACAGATACAGTCGTAGACGTCTATACCGTAAACAAGACCGACACTACCGCTGCGGACGGAGAAGGCAGATGGTGAAGACCATGATCCGTCGGGGAGACGGGCGATTACAACGCCTGAGCCGCCTGCGCCTGCGAAGTACATCCCTGCGCGGAAGCCAGTGAAGATTGCGAGGCCTTTGGCGTTGCTGATGACGTTGGAGGGGATTTTGTTCTTGTCTGTTGTTTGTTAGCTGGTGGTGAAGATGACGAAGAGAGGTTGATGGTACATACCGACGAAGCTCTTAAGGATACGAGCGCTCTTTTCGCATTCCTCACGAAGGTCGGCTGTCTTGAAAAGGCCCATTTTGTTGATTGGCGATTAATTATGCGGGTTGTCTGAGAGGATTGAAGAGTCGTTATGCTGGAGTGAAAGGCGAAATAGTTTGAGTACCAGTGTCCCGAGAGCTAGTGGTGAGATATAGAGGTTGTAATTGAAGATGATGCTGTCGCGAACATTTATAGGAAAACAACATTTTGACTTTACATCGCGTCTACATAACCGATGATTTGCAGACTTGCGCAAATCTGCGTATGCGACAATGCCTCTAGCATAGCCTCAATTGGCGATACCCTCTTTTGCGTCCCAACCTCATCTCAATTGA